TTATTACATTTTGAGTTATCATCAGTTTCTATGAGCGGTTTTGCATCCTCTATAAAATCTTTATAATCAATATAACTGATGATGACTGTAGCTGTATAATAAATGTTTTCCCGTTTTTAGGGTCAATCCTTGCTTTTCATCAAAACATTGTAAGTGAACAACTTGTACTTCTATAAAGTGAATTCATGAATAACAAAGCAGCCGTTAGAATTCCACATCCAGCTGCTGCCAAACGATTAGAAACAAATACATCAGTAACACAGTGTCACAGTCTGCTGCTCGAAGACACATTAGCACTCCGGAGATATGCTAATGACTAATCAGGAGCGCTTCAAGGTCAGGCACTCGGGCAATTTACGTTTAACACGGCCATAGGCAAAACAAATCAATTTCCCAAGCCTAACCTCTATCAGAGCTGCACATGCAATCAGGTGAGCTGAGCACGTAGACGTGAGTATCGCTGACAGACTGACTCATTCAGGGGTACCGAGAGGTTACATCCTCCCACTCTCTTGAACGCATCATCTGTGCTGGGAATCAGATGCAAAAGTGACAGATATGGAGCAATAGATGAACGACTAAAAACCCCCACAGAACTGGGTGCCAGGCAACAGATGCTGATAACTGCCTCAGATTAGGTCCTAGATTGTCGTCAACTCCTGCCAAGACTGTGATGCTATATTTACTGCTCCCTCTCTCCCTTCATCCCGCCTCTGATGGTGCCACCTCTGTGTGTCATCTCCACATTATGTCTGGCTTCTACGACAGAGCTCCAGGTGTGAAACAGAGATGAAATATTCATTGTGAATGCCAGAATACTTTCACTTTAGCGGGGAATGGTGTGGCAGTAGTACGAGAGATTGAAGTTGTGTATCGTTCTCATTCAGGTTTGATTTAGGCCTCAGCTGTTGGGTCTTAAATGATTTTCCACAGGTAAGTTTTAGAGTATTTTCTTTTGATGGAACCTGGAGCTGTTGGCTGTCCTTATCAAGGTTGAGCATACCATAACCTTTAGTGGAATTTATCTTTTTTCTTTTAATCACAAGCAGCTACTTTGAAAGTCAAAGGGTACTTTTTATATGCTGAGGTAAATGTCAATGTTATGTTTGAAATCTCACTAGAAGCCATAGTCTCTTTGGAAAAATTAACTTTAAAAAACTTAACTGACTTTTAAAAATGATTCATTAAAACAGCAGATAGAGACAACATCAAGAAGCTAAGGGCTCTTAATGACATGATTATGCAAAAATGTACCAAACTTCAGTGATATTAATGTTACACTTTTTTATGTGCATTGTTAGAAGTGGTGTCTTAAGTGTGACTATTGCTGCTTTAACAAAGTAATTTCCTGTAAACAAAGTTGTTTCCTCTCACACTGCCACAGTGTCTATCTATCTACCTGCCTGCCTACCTACCTACCTATTCATCCATCCATCCATCCACCCATCCATCCATCCATCCACCTATCTACCTACCCATCCATCCATCCACCTATCTACCAACTTATACCTACCCACCCATCGATCTATGACAATCAAAAGAAAATATAAATCAGAATCTTTTTAACCATCTATGGCTGGGTCCTGCTATACAAGGGAACAAGTAAAAAGCACCTCGGTGACAATTACCAGGAATGATTGAGACTAAACAAATCAGCCTACACACACAGACAAAGACACAAACACATCACCCTAGTCTTAAAAGCTAAATGTACTCAAAGTATCAAATGGAGAAGTATTTATAAAGCAGGAAGAAAAAACACCCGATGTGTATCATAAGCTAGAAATGAATGTTTACATGTCCCTGCTTTTCATGTTATTTGTAAAGCTCTTTGAGTTTCCTCTTGAGTGTGCTAACCTTATTATACTGATAGTGCTACATGAATAAAGCTGTCTTCTCGCTTTTTCCCTTTTTAGTTTAAGTTAGAGCTCATTATTTCAATATTTTATTAATGGAGCAGTTTAATTCATGTTCACATGAGATTATTTGTATCTAATTATAATATTGTTTAGTAACAAATTACAATAACTGTAGTTTGAAAAATAAATGGAAATATGTCTCCCTCTGAGTTAGATAAGAAGTAGTAAGATTGAGGTAATAATCTACGTACTTAAAAATTACCTTTAATGTTATAAAACTAATTTATCAAACCAAATCAAGTTTTTTCTTCGATGATTCCACAACAACACTAACCCCACGTTTTACAGTCCAACTCTGAAAATATCCTTCTAGATTTAGACCAATAATCTACTGTGTGTATTTGGATTTATTCAATGAAAACATCTTCACTGTAAATTATTTGTGAAAAAAAGGGAGACAAGGACAGGGGACAAAAGACTCCAAGGATTTACAGTTTTTCCACAGCAGCCAGTCAGCAGGCTGAACAGAGTAGCTTAATTGAAGAGCCTGAAATAGAGCCGCTCTATTAGAGCTCAGAAGGCTGAGGAGGCTCCCTGCACCAGCGGCCAATCAAGAGCCTCCATCCTCTGCCTCAGCTCTCTGTACACCCTCAAGATAGCAGAGAGAGAGAGAGAGAGAGAGAGAGAGAGAGAGAGAGAGAGAGAGAGAGAGAGAGAGAGAGGGACACAATTACTACATGGCTCAAAGATGTTGCATAGTCATTGATAGGGGGCCCATGTGAGCGTACTGTGCCAATTTAGAGCTGGCACATGATGGACTGTCTTATAACTTTAAACCTAACTGCTTCACTTAGCACACTTAGTTTTGCTGTTTTGCTGTATTAAGATTTCATTCATTCTGCTGTTACTTATCTTGTGTGCTTTAGTAGAACTACAACCGCTAAAATAAAATAAAAATGCTGCATTGTTCATTATGCTACTCCATAGTTATTATTGGTAAAAGCTTGTATTCTCTTGTATTTCCTATATTCTTTGCTCCTTGGTTGATACTGTAACTTTGCCTTTAGTTATGTGAGCATTGCCCTCTACTGGCAGCTATTATGTACTACAATAAGGGCTACAGCTTGCAGTTTAGACAACCCTATATTTTCAGGTCTAAAGCACAAATAAATACCCCATCTGATTCTTCCCACACAGCATCTGGAGTTATTTTTTTACCCAGCTGACAGCAAAAACAACATCACAGCTGTATCCTGCTAGAGACTCAAACCCCCACAGTGAAATTTATGATTTCTTTTAGAGTGTCTCTAATCAGATGCAGGAGTTGTTGGAAGTCTGAAATCAAAGAAAACCACAGCATGTCATTCTAATACCTCCAACAGTTCCTCCTGTGAAGCTTTCAGTGCTTTCAGAGTTTGAAGATGGCTGATATGAGCGAGTTTACACTCCAAAGAATTTGATTTCCCAGGTGAACTCACTGACATTTATAAAGCATGGATGTCTCTAACAGCTCTGCAGACCAGGCTCTCAGGATCGTACAGCGACTGTGCCACCAGATGGCAGTCAATAATACTGTAATCCCACAAATCCAGGAATCAGTGTGAGGCATGCTTTAGTTAAAATAATAAATAAATGAGTGGATTATTCAAAGACGGCCAACAGATGGTTTATATAGTGACATGTTATTTATTTTGTATTGTTTTGATTTCATTTTTTCTGGACATACACATTTTACTGCATGCCCACACATGGGCATTTTACATTGCCTAATAAAAATGACCAAGACCTTCTGGACACATGTTGTTTGTGTAACATGATATCTACAGTTTATTTCATTTTATCTGATATTTTTGTTTATTTTTTTGTTTCTGAATATTTGGAGTAATGTGGTGTGTGCAAATTGAATCAAATGTCTAACTTGTGCTTGAAAGAAACTACAAGTGCCTTAATTTAGATGCTTTATACGTTATACTCAAGTATAATTTTTAATCCTTACTTACAGTTGTGTTTTTTCAGATACTTTGTACTTCATGAGATTAGAAGGCGAATAACATGTCCATCAAATTAACACATGTGGAGCATTGTTCTAGACCCAACAACATGACTCGGTAAAAAAAAAAAACCCTCATAGGTAGAATTAGGTAGGCTATTACTTTAGTGAAGGTGTGAGAGTTTATTTGATCACGACATCTTGTGGGCTAAAAGTCGTTAACTAATACCTCAATTTAGAAATTCTCTGTTACAAACAAAAATTCAACATTTAATCATCCAAAGAAGAGGCCAGTAACCTAGAGAAGATTAGCAACAATCAATATAAAGGTACAAAAGCTTAGAGAAGTGTTCATTTCGGAGGGAAAAAATGGCCACTATTGTATTTTTTTATTTTGATGACCTGTTAATTTATATATTTAGGCTATATATATTCTATTTTACATCGGCTACAGATAGAGATACAGATATATATAGAGAGAGTTACAGATTTCAAATACAATTTAAGAACCAATAATGCATTACTGATTGGCTCAAAGAAGAGGAAGGTATTTTTTTTATGTTGGTAACTAACATGTAACTAAGCTAACTATTACTGTCAGACAAATAGGCCTGTAAATAGGTTATTTGCAATTGAAATAAAGTGGAGTGTTCGTAAAAGGGCAGAACATAAAAGTATAAGTATAGGCTACAGCACCTGGGTATAAGAGATGATATTGTATACATCCCTGCGATAGGTCTACAAACAAAACAATAAACCTCTTTAGGAATATAGGCTCGTGGGATAAAAAAAAAAACAAATAGGCTATAGCCTACTAAGGTATCGTATAAAAGTGTAACAAACATGTTATTTTATCACACAAGCACATAGGCCTATCGTTCAACATTTCGTCCGACAATGTAGGCTACTTTTTAAAGCCATAGCTTGCTGAAACTTCGTGCGTGACTGTGAGAAACTCAAGAAGAAGAGGCAGACACTCAAGAAACACTAAACAAAGAAATCCAACCAAAATCCAAGAAGTGGGAAATCACTGATCCCGCCCCCTCTCTTTCCATGAACTCTTTTCTCATTGGTCGGCGCTTTGAGCTCAGCCTACCTATTGGCTGGGTTAGCTGTCGTTAAGAACCGCTACTTGGCCGTTCAGTGTTCCGCTGCGTTGGGAACACAGGACGCAAATCAAGTGAAACAAATCTGCTGACAGAAGAAAAAGTTCATGCTGGAGTTTTCAAAGACCTCGGAGGGACACATGAAGGTAAGAGCACCAACAGGAAACGTTTTTATGTCGGCGTCGTGAAGCCACGGACATTAATGTGCGTTTTTTTTTGTTTTTTTTTAACCGTGTTTACACTTTTCTTAAGAAGAAAAGCGAGGTAGCCTATCCTGAAAAAAGTGTTTAAGTCTCCAGCCAAATCCGTTAAATCTTCATCATTTCAGGATTCAAATGCACGACAATGTGTTTCACTAGTACAAAACTACGTCTAAACATATTTTAAAGAAGAAGAAAAGAGACAGTGACATCTTTTCTGTCCAATGCGGTCCTTTTGATCTTCTTAAATACGGCTGATTTAATGTTTCTACAAAGGCTCCAGATGTTAAATGACGCCTTATTGAAAGTCCTCACACTTCAGTTTTTTCATGTAGCCTACATTTTTTTATTTTGTTTGAAAAATAGACTGTTAAAGCCAGCAGGGGCAGCAACACGACTGAGTGAGTAAGTGACCGACAACAAAAATTAGGTTGGCAACCAAATCCAATTTAGTATCTTAGACATGCTGCTTCTGGTCAGACATCCTGATTACAACAAGGAGACCTCTGCGTCTGTTCTCTCCCTCACTTGACCCTTATTTCATGTTTAGGTTTGTAGGCCAAAGAGCTTTCTCAGCCCGTGACACCTTGTTTATATGCACATTTTAAATGGTTTCCGCTCCCTTACCTGCAATATCAGTCTAAGGATGTTTGTAAGGGAAGATGTAATAAATTAAAAAAAAAACCTGAAATGTTGTTTTTCTATCTTCTTTATGTGCAGTTTAGTCTAATAAACAGTCCTTATGATTTTGCTGATATGATATGACCTGGGTGACGGATGATCATTTCCCGCTCACCCTGTACACATAAAAGAGTCACGCTCACAAACTTGGGCCTCTTTTGCCTGACACAATGTTGCGTTTGCAGTCAAGGCTGCTGTGTTTTTAATGAGTTTACAGTGTTGCAGAGCAGGCACATGGCTGCCCAGGATTAAAACAAACAGGGATAAAAGGATTATGGACACAAGGCTTTCGTCATCGGAAGTGGAGCAATGACAACGTGTGGGAATATTTGTATTTCCCATGCTTATGCCATGGTGTTTGTATACCCTCATGATTACTGACTCTTACTAGGGGGATTAGAAGAAATAATATCAAGATGATGAGGATTCAAACTAGTGTGATGACACATGTAAACCCCTGCTGGGCCAGACATTTCTCATAACAAAACATTCACTCTTCTCACAGTGATTACAGCCGCCTATGAAATTAGCAAGCAAGCCTGTAAAACCCAAACCGAGGGAGGTGTGTATGCTGTAGTCTAATTTGCATTTTAGCCCTGTGGTTAAGCCGCAGACCATGAGTGCACAACTGTGTTTAAGTTCGCAGTCTGTGTGCCTTCTTTGTGGCATGGCGCTGCTGTAGGGATTATGCTGTAGGTGCAGTTCACTTAGGTGACTGCTCATTCCTCTTTAGGGTCGGGTCTAGATGGTAACCTTTGAATTTTCAAAAGTCAGGCACATGCACACAAGTGATTTTTCTTCTCTTTTTTTTTTTTTCCAGGGGCCCAACTGTAAATGTCCTGTGTAAAGCATACTCGCAAATACCAATCCTGATTTTAGCCAGAATTATAAGCAATTTTAATTCTGTTATTGGAACATTTTTATGAGACACCAATAACTTTAGGCAAGACCTTTGTCTGACATGTAAACAACTTGTTAGAAATCTTGTGAAACAGCTGCAGTTAGACTCAGTTTAGGCTGCAAAGATGCCAGATTTTGGCCAAAGTAAAAAGGTAGTGGATAGAATTTTATTTCATACAGGACTCTGAACCTGTTCCCCTTGGGTTTTTAAAACATATTCTTTGGCTTTTATGCCTTTTATATCAGAGGACAAGGCAGAGGATGAAATTGCAAATCATGAGGAGAGGGTGGGGAATGACATGGGGGGGGGGGGGGGGGTTGAGGGTCGGAGATGAAACCCCCTCCAGACTACAAGACTACAGCCTCTGTTTGTGGAGTGTGTGACCGAACTGCTAGGCTCATCTCTACCATTCAATACCATTTTTCTTTTTTACTTTGTTGTTCCTCGTACTGGGATACTTAAAACACAGCCACAATGATACAAAATTAACGTGTACAGATCTTTCAATTTTTAAAAATACAGATTTAGCATCTGGAATCATCCCACCTTATGGTCAAATACTCCAAATATTTGCAACATATTTATCAAGATTAGTCACACTGTCATTGCCCAGGCATAACCAGGTTCCTCTATAGCTGATTCTTCTGGAGTTTCATGGGAAATCTTTCAGCGACTAGCTCTGATATTGGAAGGCCAGTTGCTACTGTCTCTCATTATGCAACCAGCGCTGTCAGAGATTTTTCCAACCCCCTCCAAAGGCTTCATGCTGTGAAACGTTGTGTTGACCACAGATTGCCTGGGACAGAGCCCGGGTCTGTTTAATAGTTCAGGTGTGGATCAAAGTCCAGTAAACAGCAATATTTTTAAGACGCTTCAGTCACATATCAGAAGGAATATTTTTTCTTTGATTTAAGCTAAAAGTGCACTTCTGTGATTAAGAAGTCATCCAGTGCAGTGTACATGTGTCCTTCACGTCCACCATGATGGCTAGCATGTGAAAAGGATGCTTGGTGTTACACCATCAGCATCTTTGATCTCATTTCAAAGAGGGGGCCCTCATAACATTTACATGGCCTGAGTGCGGTTGGATGTTTGAGGTGTGGACACCGCAGGGCTTGTCAGCAGAACCAACACAGCTGTGAGATTAGAGTGCAGAGACACTACAAAGAGACCACATCACATCCACAACACAAAATAACCAACTGTCACCACAGCCCCCATTCTGAGTGGAGCATGCAGTGGGATACAACACAAAGTCATTGGATATTATCATTTTCAACATTGAAGTTAATCGCTTCAAGCTGTCTATCTGACTGTGTGGTTTGAACACAGATGTCAGAACAGTTGCATGCTGAAAGATGAGTCTCTTTTATTATCTTAGAAAATGGTGTTGTCAGAATGTTTTTGGTGTCATCTGTCAGTTTTATCAGAAGGATAAAATTATATTTACTGGCCTGTTTGTCAAGAAACTCAGTGAAATAGTGTTGCATCAGACAAAGAACACCAATTTAATTCATTTTATGGAGATGGAGAAACAATACAACCATTTTATCTTTTTTTACTCAATTCTTATAAATACCCATCTCTTATTGAGCTAAATTATCCAAATCATACAAAGCAAACTAATGATAATTGATGATAGGCAAACGTAACCCCCATATCTTAGTTTCACTGTTGCAGTTTCAGATGGAATTTTTTTTTTTTTAAAGGTTGTAGTCTTCTTGGATAAGGATCTTAAACTTTACAGCCCCTCTTGACTATTTCAGTTGTGCACCTACACTATGCCACTCCAAAAACCTGTCTTGCATCTTTTCAGACATGAGAAGAACAAAAAGTAACTACATTTTATGACTCCTCCAAAAGGTAATAACCACATATCCACATAAAGCTCCTAAATCTGTGGGTTAGAGCAGATAGATCAGAGGTATGTCTGGATGTCTAGTCTTTGGGAATTGGAAAACGCAGAGCTTTGTTTCAAGTTGTAATGAAATATAATTGCGCACTGGGAAAACACTGATCAAAGTTTAGAATAGAGTTTATCAATGTGAAGAAATAACATTTTACATTCAATTTGGTAACCCAGTGTTCCTGTTTATCTTTCTTTCTCACAGTCCAAGCTGAATATGGACAGCTTGACCAAGCCAGAGTTGCTGATGCTCTTCAGCATCCTGGAGGGAGAGCTGGAGGCCCGGGACGTGGTCATCGATGCTCTAAAGGTACATTTAATGTAGCTGATAGCATCAGTATAACTTTAAAGAGGCTTTCGGAAAATACTGTTTCTTTTTAAATGGTAAACTGAACCCATCTGGGCTTGCAAAGTGACTGTCCAATCATTATATTTTAAGATGTAGATGCATTTAATCAAATTGTGATAAGGAACCTGTCAAACCACTGCTGCCTGTATGCAGCAGCTAGCCACAACACTGCATGCCTCTTTCTGTGGTAGGTATTGTAGAGCTATCTGTCTTTGTCAATCATTAGAAACATATGCAACTTTGGTTTATTTTTGTGGTAAACATAAATACTGGGAGCAGATTTTGATTAAGCTGCAGAAACTGCTCAAATTTCTGATTTGAAAAGTTGTCTCTTTTTCGATATTTCTACTTTTAACAGCAACATTTCAAGCCTATAGGAGGTGAACCTGCGCAAAACTGCAAGGGCAATATGGATGCCTGATAAACTATGTTTGTTATGAATATACAGCATCATGTTTTCGTCATATCTGTCATACATTCAGTTGTGGTTTATTGGACCTTAAGTACATAAAGATCCAGAAACAAAACCATGAGATAAAAATCAGCAAGAGAAAGTTTGGATTTGATCCGAGTAATTTCCTGTGAAAAACGTCTCTGTGTGGGCAAAGCCATGTGTCTGTCAAACTATCATTTCTCAGGATCTGTTCACTTTGCTCTCACTAAACTACTTTTTGGAGAATGGAGTGCTTCTTTAATCCGTAGTCCTTTTAAAAAGTTTAAATGAGTACACCTGTTCCAGTGAACTTAAAAATACATTCAATTAGAAATAGCCTCAAAGTAGATGACACAATCTCACACACAGAGTTAGACCTAGTTCCGCTACCGTATGATGTCTTACTTTGGCGGGGTTAATGCTGACTTTCAATTAAAGGATTTTCAAGCTATTTTCCGACAAGATGTCCTTTGCTATGCTGTGTCCTACAGGCCCTGATACTCGAGCTGCCAGTGACTGTTTCAATAGCCTGAAGGATGTTTGGCTTTTGATAAAACAGCTGTAAACCTATTTTGGCAACACTGAGTTATTGTAACCACCATTAATAGACCATCAACTTAAGACTTTTTTTTACTTTGCCTTGCCTTAAAAATTAAGCATTTCTGCACAAGTACTTCTTTGAAATATTCATGCACACTGCAGACTCTACTCTTACTATTAAACTGTGAGTTTTACAGTGTCAATGCTTTAGGAATGCTTTTCACTCTCCTGGTGTAAAATGCATCATTGAAAAAACAAACTGGAGAGGCAGCCAGTGACCTAGAGGGCAGCCGCCTCTTAGAGCCTATGGCTGAATGTTCATGTGTTGTGTCTAGACGGCATTCCTACAGCTCTCCTGGGATCTGCCCATCTAAGGCAAGAAGACTTACAGCATGCTCAGTGCCCAATGAGTCAATGTGAGCGAGAGTAGGAGTGAACAAATAAACATTAGCCTTAACTGGAGCTTGAGGGGAATATGGCTGTGCTCTTTTCATGCCACAAACTGTTAACCCTCTCAGGGCTGTGAGTGGATCAATGCCACTGTGTTAACTCTTTCAAAGCTTCAATTAACCATACATAAAATTAATGACAGGGAGTGAGTGAAATCTGATTTCTAAAACATGACTTCATACCTCTCTGCTAATCTTCTGTTAAGGAATAGGCGACGTGGAATCTGGGGTACTGAACAAGATTGCTATCTGTAAAATCAACACATACTAGTTGAATTGTGTGGTGGTACGCAGTGTTTGTCTGTTGGCCCTGGATAAAATATTTAGTTGAAATGGCAAATGGATGGATTGTCTTGGAACTTTAAGAAAACAGCATGGTGCTTAGAGGATGTATCTAATGGTTTAATTGTATTCAACCTTTCTTGTAAGTAGTTAAGCCTCACCTACACTCTGTGTAGTGCTAATGAGCCGATGTTAGCATGTTTACACTGAATGTGTGGTAAACATTAAAACTGCTTGCATCAGCATGTTAGCAGCCAATGTAAGCATGTAAGCATTCTTAAAGCTCTGCATAAACTCATAACAGGTTTGCTGAAACAACTGTAGACTTTCGTTACAACAGTACATATGCATGCACACAGAACTGTGATAATTAAAAAAAGATGTATGTGGCATCTCTCACAACTAAGATACAAAGTGCTTTACAATAAAAAAGGGCTGTGTGTTGAAAACCAAAAAAGAATAGAAAACATCAGTACAAAGCAATAGAACAAGTTTTAAAGTGATTTAAAAAAATAAAGATTTCAGTCCTGATTTCCTCAGGCAGGCCACTTCAATAATCACATTTGTGCATCAATTTGAACAATTGAAAACCAAGAAAGGATACGTACGAGTGTCTCAGTGAGTTCACTGGAGCAAGAAGAGACCTAATAAATGAGTCAGTGCTGTCAGTAATCAAATATATATGCTTCAGATAACAGATAATTCTTTGACTATTGACTAATGACTTTATTCAAACAGGACAGCTGTAGATAGAGGAAATGTAGGAAGAGAGTGGGGCACCAGTGCAATAAGGACTACAGCCTCTGTTCATGAAGGGCCTGCTTTACCCACTGAACTAAACCATTTCCTCTCAACAATATTCAATATCAAGATTAAATCAAGATTTAAAGCAACAGGAGTCCAGTGTTATTATGCCAGGTTTTAATCTGATCATTTCTCCTAGCCTCAGTCAAACTCCTGAAAGCAGAACCTCTGTGAACTGTAATTAGAGAAGTAGCTTCAGTCCTCCTCTTGTTGGTCTGAACTGACGTGTCACCACTACACTAAGTGTCACGCAAGAAATGTTTAGCTCAACCACAAATCACCATGGCAACAGTATAGCCGTTCTTTTCTTTGGTTTTGTGACTCTTCTTATCTTATCATGAGTATTGCAAACAAGTTTTGTCTTGTATAATTTTGCATCTCTCTCTCTATCTCTCTCTCTTCTTAAATCAAACGTTTGTATCAATGGCTTTACACAGGATGTAAATAAGCACAGGATGTAAGGTTAATGATGTGTTTTTTTCTTACGCTTTTCTATATTTAATTATGCAGAACTATCGATGGCATTCTAACTATCCGTTGCATTTTTCCACTCGTGACTCACTTCTGCAGCTGCTCAATCTGTGGCTTTCAAAAGGAAGTGAGTCTCTGGCAATGCTCTGATTTGGCACAAGAAGCCCTTCAGTGATCCAGTAGTCCCTTTTGGAAAGGAATACCAGTCAGTACTTTAAGTTGAAAAGGGAGTCAAGTATAAAAATTAGCCTTTTAATTAACTGTTGGGTTCACATGATATGGTTGTTGGGGCTTCCTGATGGACATTTGACAGATTTATTTAATGCTAAAATAGAGATAATTGTGCTGTTCACGTTGCTCATTTCATTCATTCATTGCATTTATCCTCTATCATGTGATTGAGTCGGATACATTTCTTCTGATACCCCTTTCCTTGCATGCAGGAGTATTTCAGGGTATTTAGTAATCTGCCTAAGCGGCTCTGAAATGTATAGGACTCTGGGGTAAGAAGTTCAAATATCATCTTCCCACAGTTTGATACAGATTTTGTCGCCAACATGGCAAGACTAAAAGAATCCAGGCATGTGTCAGCAAAAGATAAGCTGGATTTGACCCAGTGCATGCATGGCACAAAGACGACTTCCCGAGCAGAAGTGCGCAGGGTGCCAATGAGTGAAGCCAACAGTCAAAAGCATGAATAATGGAGGTAGACTGTGATGCATAGCAGACACGCTCTGAATGTTGATGTGTATTGTGCACGTACAGTATGATGTGATGAAAAGTAGATTTGGGTGCTTAGTATTAAGTCATGTAAGAAATGTGTTTCCTGTAATCCCTCTTTTAACTTCCTCATCCCGCTGTGCAGCAGTGGAGGATGGATGTGGAGGACACAGCCTCTCTTTGTGTTGTGGAAGAGCCAAGGGCTGCAAGGCAAACTGGAAAAGAGACAGTCTATGTATATGAGTGAACCTTTTGTTTGATAGGAGTCCAAAGAATTTGAAAAATTTTACAATTTTTGCGATCTTGTGAGACTCTATATGAACTCCCCTTTTTAAAAAACTAACACAAATCTATTTTAAGTACCCTCTTTGTTGTAAATTTTTTTTTTTTTTTTAAATTTGTTCCAACTTAATAAGCAACAGCCTACAAATGAAGGTGTTTTTTTCTCTTTGAGCTTAGTGCAAGTGCTGCAGGGGTGAAAACAAAACTGAGTATATGTCCTCAGGCAAAGATTACAAGAATGGAAAACCTTATTCAAGCTCATTTCATCTTTGACTGTACACTGACACATCAGAGCAGACAGTCATTGACGGGAAGACGGGAGGGCTGGAGGCCAAGTATGTCGACACATTTATCTTTGACGATTTCTCTTTAAATGTAGTAATCTACATTTTAGAAATAATATGAGACTTTCTTAAAACATTGATAGTTTAGCTGAACTATTTAAAGCAATCGAAAATATGCATCCAGAAATGATTGTTGACAGAAAAATGCTGTTTTTTTAATGTGAAACTTGCATATTGTAAACACAATAAAAAATGGACTGAATGCCACATTAATAAGAAATTCTTCATAGCACTCAGACTTGTTGAGGTGATGTGTAATCACATTTGAGAGGCATTTTTGAATCCTCTTGGGCACCTCTTGTTTTCCGGTTTCACCCCTCTATGCTGTTTGATCCGCCTTCACAGCGTCCTCGGCGGACTGGATCAAATAACAGCAGCAGTCTCACCGCCCTGCCCTCCTGTCTTTGTGTCTGATGTGCCAATGTTGTGGAGAAGACAATCACAAAGCCTGTGATCTGCGGTGTAGTCATGAATCAATACTCCTTGATTCTGTCTTACTCTATTTACCGAGAAGAGTATCTACATTTCCTCTGATAATGCCTTTACGTTTTATAGAGTCAAAGTGCTATTGAAAACAGGTTTAAGTTTTTAGGGTTTTTTCTTTCTCAATACTGCTTCCAATTTGTTTAATATGCAAAATGTAACAGACTGAGGCTGAATTGGTGGGGGGGAAGTTGTTACGCCCCCGATCCACTATCAGAGGTTATTATAGAGGCGAAACAGAGGGGATATGGTGGCAGTGTGTAACGTCAGGGTGGCTCAGATCTGTGTGCGTGCATACTGAGCTTTTGTGCATACGACGCTCCTGCCTCTCATGCTCACATACTGTACTTGGACACCAATTTTATGCTGTTGCCAATGCAATGCATTGGATCTTGGCGTAATTGCAACCTGTTAGCAGTTTGTGTTTGTATAAAATGTTCCTTCATGTCATTTTGACATTGTTTGTCTGCAGAGAAATGCATGTCACAAATTGCAACATATACGTGTTGGTGGCAATAAAAATGGCCGTCATTTTCCATTATTTAAAAATGTAATGATCTTTAAATCAGCATGGGCAAATATAGATACCAGTATCAGTATCGCAAAAATTCTAATCCATATTAAATCAGTTTCTTCGTTTTTCTTGTATCAGTAGAATGCATTCATTCAGGTTACCTGAGTTTTTAATACCATAGTGATCCTTGGCCTTGTGTAACTTTAGATAAAGGTATTCTTATGAAAACGTCAACACTACACAGGGTTTAAGATTTTAAAAGTAGATATGAAGTTATAGTACCAGATCAGTACTTTGTATTGGCTGATTCCCTGAACTGAGGCATCAGAGTCAGTGTTGGAAGAGAGAAGCATTCCTGGTTAAAGATGTCACAGTTTGATGTAGTGCAGTCTGGAGGGAGCCAAGGTTTACCTGCGTTACACCCACACACATAGTCAGCAGTTCAACGCTCTGTTACAAAAGGTTGCATGTGCTAAATATTTCTCTGCAGGCACATTTAAACTCTTAACTACCCTTTAAACTTCTTAAGTAATCTGGGTATCAGTCATCAGGAACCCTGTCGTCACCCTGCAGGAGAGGATACTGTTCTCTCTAATCTGTTGATCCTCTTTTGTTGAAACCCTTACGAAAACATACTGCCAGCTCTGCTTAGCTCCTCTCCTCTCTCTCACACACACGTACACATACACTTCATCCCTTTTTCACGGCATGTCCAAAAGGCATCTGCTCAACCTGAAATGTCTGGCAGCTCTTGTCCCTCCTTTTGTCATGAGTTAAACAGAAAGCAGGTATGTCTTGGCCAAGGCTCATTCCAGAGCAGCTGTCCTGCTAAAGATAGACAGACATACACCATCTGTTGCTTCTTCCTCTTGGTAGTTCTTTGGCATCTTTTTTCTATTTTTGTTATTCCTCTCCCTGTCTTCCCCTTTTGTCTGCAGCTCTTTGTTCCATATGAGTCAATGTCCAAATTAGGAAGAAATGCATGTAGGAGCAGAGGAGCCTGAATTCCAACTGCTGACTACTATAGGGATTGCAAAATATTTTATGTTAGCAAGTGTTATATTTGCCCTCTTCGTCATTTAAGTTCAGATTGTTTGCATGCTTAAATTTGCATTTGGGAAATCAATACTGCCAATAAAAGCAGTGAGTCCTAAACAATGGTAAATGCTTTTGCTCCACAACATAAGATGGATATGACTTGTAGTTCAACAAAGCATGAAACACTTATGTTTAATTTGACATTCCCTGTCAAATTCAGACTCCTTAGTTATTGGTAAAAGCAGAGTGAAAGCAGCTTCTATGGCACTGCATTGTATAGTTGATCTTTTTCTCATGTATGTAATATGTGTTTGTATATAAACAATCACAAAGTATTTTAATCAATCTGTTGACCTCTCTCTGTCCCTCCTCAGGCCCAGCATAAAGAGCTGTACATCCAGGAGCGATACAGCAGGTACAACCTGAGCGACCCCTTCCTGGCTCTGCAGAGAGACACCGAGGCTGTCGGGGGTCAGACCAAGGACACAGGCTCTTCATCCCCCACCTCCAACCCTCTAGTAGTACTCAAACTGGTGGTGAGTCACTGCAGGAGGATGCAGGAGAAGATGCTAGCCCAGCTGGCTGCAGCAGAGAGCAGGCACAGAAGGGTGGGTGTGCATTTGTGCTTTTTCATTATAGGAGGCAGAAAATGGCCGATTTAAAGGAAGTGGTTGAAATAAGAAAGACGTTATGCTGTATGTTTTGTTTTTATGAGAGGAGGCGGCCAGTAAAGTACAATGAGAATTTATTTCTTAAATTTAAAATATATAACAAATGCACAAAACTAGTTTGATTTCATGATCATACATTGAAACCCTTTACTTAAAAAAGCAGAGTAAGAAATTGAAAACAGCATTGTCCTCAGGGTAAAGAGGCACTAGAAGTACTTCAGGGTAGCAAACACAATCAAAGAAAAAAACAAATACTTGCACACTGATATTACATTTCAAGCTTTTCTATAGTTTCGTGTGAGTTGAAGATTAGTGTGTGACCGGCCAGTATCTCCTAATTGTACACATTAGGACATCAAGTCCAATCTGTGAGATCCTGAAGTTCCTTTGATTCCTAATTAATATCACATTAGTTTGACGTGAAATCCATCAGGGACCAGAAGTATATTTGAAAACAAAAACATTCCAATATCCAAAGAGTTGTTGTGGTGTTGAATTACACTCATTACCACTGCAGAGTGCTCCATCATTAAAGGCGTTGTATAACAACAGAGTGAAGACTATACTTTCCACTGCAGGTGGGACTGAATATGATATCAGTTTAGATTAGCCAAACACGTCTTTGGTAAACTTTACTGCAATCGGCACTTTTTGTGAGTTGTAATCATATCACTTCAAAACAACAATTATGGACTCTGTTATCAGGCAGAAAACAAACTCATGTGAGAAGGTTTTATTGCTGACTCTGTGTCTCCCCGCTGTGTTAACTTCAGGTTATTGCAGACCTGGAGGAGGAGAGGAGGAGGCACGCTGAGGACACAGCAGAGGGAGATGATGTCACCTACATCCTTGAGAAGGAGAGGGAGCGCTTACAACAACAGGTACCCTTGACTTTAATAGTGGTTTTGATTTGTTTGCACAAATACTTTTGGATCAATCAAATAGGAGTTTTGAAGCTCTGAAATAAAAGGTGTCAACAGCTTTGACAGTCTGAAGAAAAATAAAAAAGTTTACTTCCTCTTACACTTTTTTTTTTCTGGACCGTTTCTTTGCAGCTGGACTTTGAGCGGAGCCAGGTTAGGCGGCTGGAGAAAGAACAGCGGCGGATCACTGACCAGCTGGAAGAAGAACGGGCTCAGCACAAACAGCTATCCTGCGCCTTGGCCAAAGAGTGCAAGTGGGCGAGTGCCAGAGCTCTGGAGGAGGGTCACCGGCTGACTGAGCTGAGCCGCAAACATGACAAGGTAGTGACTTCTTCAATCCAATTCTGGCGATTCATTTCCTTTTGTTGCTACAATTGTATCCCAGTGGTTATTCTTTACACACTGGCTTTTTTTGCTGCAGGAGAAAGAGGCTTGTCAGGCCCTGAGAATGGAGCTGGAGGAGGAGAGGAGGAGAGCCCTGAGGATGGAGGCGAGGGTGGAGGAGCAGCTGGCTGAGTTCGACACAGAGAGGGAGCAGCTTCGCTCACGTTTGAAGAAAGAAGAGGCTCACTGTTGTCAGCTTCAGCAACAGGTGTGAAGCCTTGAACTAGGGCCGCATGATATATTGTCAGTTGATTTACAGCTGGGAATGCAGAGTTTGTTTAACACCTGCCTGTAAAGAAGCGCATCGATACTGTCACGGATAATGTCGCTTTGATGCTTGAGGCCAGCCTTTAGCAGCAGCTTGTCTTTGTGCTTGATTCCCCTGTGTCTAAGTTCTGTTTTTTTTTTTGGGCTGCACTGGGAGGGCACAACCATTGTAGTGTGAGTCAAAGGCAGTTCAAGATAGCAGCTTTTTTTTAAGTCATGGTCCATGGGGGCAATCAGAACTCACATATGTTGGTAGATCGTAAATGCAAGTTGAAAACTTGTAGCTTGAAAGTTTCCCCAACTCTGCCTTGTTGCAAGTCTTGTTTATCTTTTCGCAGAAATATCATCAATTGAATGTCAGTGGAAATGGTAGATTGTATATAATTGAAACACACTCGTCCATTTAAAAGGATCCTGTAACATTGCAGTTCTCTTTCTAAGGTAACAAAATTATGGAAATGGTTATTTATTATTATAATAATAATAATAATAATAACTTTATTTATATAGCACCTTTTAAAAACACAAGTTTACAAAGTGCTTTGACAAACAGCAAAAACACGAACAAAGCAAACTAAACCAAACATAGAAGAACATAAACAACAGCAAGAACAAACAAATGCAAAATATTATATATAATTGTATATCTGTACATGACAAACACTGTTAAAGCAAATTACAGGGTCTTTCAAATATAATGCAGCCACAACCTGGACACGGTTTAAAATGAGTTTGCATTGTGGAGCCATTTTTTCACTCTGGCATTTATATTTTTTCTTCCTTTTGCTCTCAGGTAGAGGAGCTGAAAAGGAAGTTTGATGATTCGAACATTATAAGAAATGTAACGGACGTAGTTCCAGCTCCAGAGGAGGCAGAAAAAAAGGAGTGGGCAAAAAAAGTTCCTCTGAGGAAGCAAGACACTATTAAGGTTGAGGACTTTGAGGAAGACGGGAACCCACAACCTGTGCATCAAAAAGTCACCAACGGTCACCACTGTCTGATAGAGACAAACGAGAACCAGAGTCCAGACACCACCTCAGAGAAGATCTGTTTACAGAATGAAAGTGAAAACCAGACCCATACATCACTCTCCACCCTCCCTCCGTCTTCACCTTGTGCTTCTCCTGTTCTTGCTAAATGCCCACAAGGCAGCCCGAGCCCTGCAGGCTACCAGTCTCCATACCAGGCCGGGATCAACCAGCGCTTCCACGCTGCCCGCCATAAGTTCCAGGGCACCATTGACCCCGAATCCCAGCCACAGGCCACGCAGCCCCCCCTCTCTCCAAAGGACACCCCGGCTGTGTCGAGCAGCCCCTCCCCAGAGCCCAGCCCAGTGAAGCAGATGGCGCGGAGCACAGTCACTCAGGTCCTGTCCCGCTTCACCACAGCCCAGCAGAGCGTCGCACCGAAACTGGCAGCGCCCAACAACTCACCCTTCGGTACGGACTACCGAAACCTGGCAGCACCCTTGTCTCCTATCATTGGAAGAGCGGCAGGAGTGCTCCCACAGGGGATCAGATCTCCCACCATCGCACGGGCAGACAGGGGTATCCCTCCACCCATCCCACCTAAGAAGCCCGGACTGGCACAAGCCCCTCCCTCCCCCGCCGCAGTGCCCAGGTCAAACAGCCATTTCTCAGACAGTCCCCTCTCAGGCAGCTGTGGCCTAACGTCCAGCCAGGAGGGAGTCAAAGAACTGGACATGGTGGTGTCTTCTAATTAAACGATCATCTTATTCATAAATAAATCAGTCAGCTGCTGCTCTGCTTGTTACATGGTGTTTAATCAATCTCTCATTATAATGACTGAGATGTTATGTACATGACTGGTTTTATATCAGTATGCATTTTTCTTTTTTTTTTTTTTACAAAGGGCCCTTTAAACACTGTTATAACTGTATTTATTAGATTTAAAACAAATACGCGATAAGGTGCTACATGTATTTTATATAGTGAATGGGCTGGTACTTATGAGCAAATACAAAGGATAGTTATAAATGTGCCAATACTGTATTCAAGGCATACCATACTGTTTCAGTATATTTAACCATTTAATAGTGTCATATTTCCAAACACCAATCATTTCTTTCGCTGAAGAATTGTTCTTTCCCCCTTTACTCTGTTTTGAGTATTTGTCTTGCCATTTAATTCAATAGTAAGAATTGTAAACCTTTTTCTGTAAATACATCTTCAGACCAGCTTAACAAGCAGTCCTTAGACCAATGTTTGTGTGCACTCAAATGTAGTTTTTTTTTTATACAAATGTATAGTTCATTTTAATTTTCTATTTTTTTAAAGTATGAAAGTTTTACACAACAGATATCCAATCCAGACAGAGTATGAATAATCTTAATGTTGCACAGTGGTGATGTTAATCCGATAGGCTCAGATTTCAAGCAGGATCCATCGTGTAATACCTTGTTTTAAAAATCAGTAATTCTAATGCTAAACTTTTGTCATCTATAGGAAAAACCTAAAATGCATTTTATATCAACCATGGCTTCATAATGTAACTCGACTGTTGTGTTGTTGATCTCTATTTTTTATCAGATCCAGTAATGTATATTCTGGGGAGAGACAGATTTAATAAATGAATCCAAAAGGTTGTCATGTTTTCATGTCTTTATTTAAATCAGGACAGAAATATATGTTGCTAGTAGGACGATGTGTGGATATAAATACAAACAGAATCATTCATCCCACAAGGGTCTTCAGGTTTAATTAAGTGCAGAATTATTTTATTAATAATGTAGTCCGCAGTTTGTTTTCTCATTTCACTGATCAATTCATCTACCGGTAATTAGTTTTGAATTCACAAGATGAATAGATGATGATTTTGGCCAAGAAAGTGAGTGTGTAACATTATATCAATACAGTTACAAATAAAATAAAAAAATACATACTTTTACATAGAAAAGTTATAAACAAACTTTGTTCTGTCAATAAAGAACCTTCAGGTAATTATTTCACAATAACATTGAATATCTTTTATGTTCCAATCTCTGCTATGTAGAAGAAAGTACTTTTCAGTATTGTACTGCCACAAGATGTCCTCTAGAGGTCACTGTTTGGTAAATATATACACCAACTATTTCCATCATCTGACAGCATGATGGAAAACAGGAAGATGTAGGAATTGTATACATTACATGAATAATGAATAAAAACAAAGGTTTCCCTCACACAAAAAAGATCTATAACCCTGTACTGTACTGTGTCTTTATACCACATTAGACTTTTTTTAACGATACAATTGTGTACAGTGGATTTTCTTGTTTAAGTAACTTCTTCTATCATTGGTAGAGAGATGCAGCGTACTTTAATACGCTCTTTATTTTTATTCATGTGTGGTGTTTTAGTGTTTATTGTCTGCCTGACATTATGTGGATGCTGTCAAGAAGAATCTTACCTTTACAGCCTGTTTGGTTGCAAATTAAGTCTAGAGACTCTTTACTGGACAAGCACTTTGTTATTCTGCAGCCCGAGTTGTACTAAATGTAAACAGTAGGTGATCTCGTGGTGTCATTTAAATAATACAACTTATGAGAGAAACTGTGTGGCACTATGAGTTTACAATTTCACAAATAAAAATACACTTTGCATACTCCTTTTTCTTCCTGTTAAGTTACAGTAAAGTGTCTCTGCCAAACACACACATACTTATACCAACAGATGTGAAAATGTGGACTAACATACAGTAATGACCAGCAGATTTATGCATAGCACACGCTGACTGGGTCCACTGTCACGCAAACCCCCCCCCCCCTTCTCTCTGGGGTTGAGGAAGGGTTGGCTGGTTATTGGGACGGGTCACCTCTGCTCAGCTCACCTAATTAACATTCCTGTGTGGGACAGCAGGGCCGCATCCCAAATCCAGCACAGGCATGCCTGCTCCTCCAGCAGAACCCCATCCTTCTCAGCCTCCATAAACACAGGCTCAGGTTGATGAGCTGTGAGAGGCCAACGTCCTTGCTGCCGTCACTGCCAGCATGACTGCTGCTCACTCTACTGTTGTCCTTATCTTGGAGACAATCCAACGCTGAGCAGAAGATATCTTAATGCTCTAAAACCTTGTGTGAGCGCTGTGGGAAAGCCTTTAGTCATATTTATTTAATACAATAAGCATGAATGACAGTTTATATAGTACATACATTCTGTTTTTTTTGTCAACTTTGGCTTCGTTTGAGAAGTAATTTTGTTTCACTTGAATGAATCTGGATGTCTTACACATCTGCATTCACCTGAAATATCTTTGTACACATTAATATTTAAACATTGACTTCATAATCTTACTCTGACTACTGAGTTTTGGCCTGCATGTCTTGCATAAAAAAGTATGCCTTTTTAAAACTTTAATTCAAGCTATGGATCATGCCCCAAAATGGATCTTGGCTGTCCTTTTGTTAAGATTCAACATGAACAGAGGAATAATAAATTAGCCGACTATTTTTCCATTAGAATAAAACTCAGAGTAGTAGATTACATTTCTGTTAAGTGCCCAAACTCAGAAGTTGGCAAATCTCTTTTTTTCTTGGAGTAGACATGAACCTTTTATTCTGACTTATAGATGTATTGGATTTCTTTTTACTATGTGGTCCAGTAAGAAACACTTGTGAGAAAGCATTGTTATTACTAACCTAATGAACATGAACTTGAAAATGATTGCAGCAGGCAGCCACATGTCAAAGCAGTTTTGGTGAGTGCAGGACTTAATGACTGTGGTGCACAAAAGCAGACAGACAATGAGACACATGGTCTCATGGCTGCAGTGTCATGCTGTGTAAATGAGATGACAAAACTGAGGTCAAGGCGGGAGTATGTAACGGGTCAAACCACAAATTTACAACCCTGTCATTTCAGACCTGCTGCACAAACTGCAGCCGTTACTAGCCATCGGTTTCCTGTCTGCATCATTGATGACACACTCGCTGCACTTCCAATAAGCAATAATGTCATAATAACTTATCCTTTTCCTGCTCTTTTTCTTTCTTCTCTCTCTTCCTCTCTTCTCCTGTGTCCAAAATTAGCCCAGACCATGAGATGGGCCGAGAATAGGAGCTCAGCCCCCCCAACACAGAGCCTCTTAAAGACCACAGCTGGAGTTAGCTAAAAAGAAAGACTGGAGGAGAGGGAGGGCCGGATGACGAGCGTTATCGCCACTATCACCTGCTCCCTGTAAAGCAGTTTGTTATAGAGTTGTCACTGTAATATCCATAGCTTGTCCTGTGGTAAAGAAAGACAGGGTCACATGTAATGAGGATCCAAGTGTCACTCCAAATCCAGATATGACATAACCAAAGGACAAATAGCTTGGCTATGTGTGGGTTTTGGTCTAAGTGATACAGAACGACAGGGGAAAAGACACAGGCCTTATTCATGGACTGTAATATGAAATGGATGTAGCTACATCCCCTTCAGGTTTGTGAACTTGGATTCTTTTTAAAGTCTTGAGTTCAGGAATGGGCTGCCACCCAGTTGGTTTGTTGGAGCCATTTGACAATAATCAGATGAGAGGAGCAAGGTGTTGGCGATCCCAAACAACTAGGGCTGGGAATCGTTGGGTGTCTCACGATTCTATTATACAGAATCTATTTCCGATTCAAAACGATTCTGGATTCATGATTCAAAGCCTTTTTGAATTAATGCATACTTCAGGATCTTCTCCGGTCATCTGTGAGACTGGCTGAATTATTGCTGCTCCATTTGGCATTCTACTGAGTTAAAGAGCCAGCCTTAGCGATTAGCAGGTCGTGGCTGATTAGCCCAACACATTCAAACAAATTCACATGCCGCCAAAGCAGCGGGAGCAACTTGGGGTTAAGTGTCTTTCCAAAGGACACATCAACATGTGGCTGCATTAATGGGGGATCGAACCCCCTACCTTCCGGTTGAGAGGCGACCGTGTCTACTACTGATCCACACCCACTGCTGCAAAATTGTTTAAGACTGGACGACATAAATGTGTTTATAAGAGTGTTTGTTTCATGCCTCAATATAATAAAATCACACACTGGGACACTTATAACAATTTGTCCAAAAAAATTGGCCACCTGAAATACTTCAGTCTGACATTATATCGGCATTACAGCTCTACGCTGTGAATATGGTGTTTTTTTTGTCAGCTTCATTTTGCATCATGTATTTGCCTGTTTTTTCATTAAATATAAAGTTAATGTTCCAGTTTTCATTCACTAAGACACTGTTAGCCTACATTGCTCTCTGTGCAGTGGTATTTTCAGGCAGCTGCATTGTTATTGACCTTTACGTTAGGTCTTTAACTAACGCCCCTGGCTTTGCACTGATTAAAATGACCTCACACCCTCATACACACATACTCTGCACATAGCGGCTTGTCAGTGTCTGTCTTTACCTGCTGGAAACACATAGCACCAAGTATGTGTCCAAGAAGTCGCGAGGGTATGAGCCAGACATGTCCTTGAGGACAGGGTTGCATGTTTCCACAGTGGCTCAGTGAGTACAACCTCTTTCTGGATCACTACGGTTGATATGAGCTGAACTACAAACATGCGCTCTGCTGGCATTACAGGAGGGTTTCAAGTGCTTGGAGCTGACAGGAAGTATCATTTACTCCACCACCTTGAGAAGTATGGCATGAAGGCAACTTTCTTTGAAGATACGAATCATATTTAAAGGTAAAAGTACTATATTGGGCCCCATACCAAACATGGAAAAACAAGGCATTACAGCACAGGACAGATATAAGCCATGTCAAAGTCATGACCATTCAAATCTAAGAGGCTGCTCCTACTGTCCCTTCAAACCAGCGACCACCAGTACCCTTTTCAGATCTTAACGTCAAACTAGAGGTCATGTGGTGCAAGTCCTACATAGGTGGCATCAGTGTGCTTTCGTTCTGTATATTCATAGTGTAATTTGACTTTTTTGTGAGTTTTTTCTCCTTACATATGACACTGCACATGCCTGTCCGTTCTGGAAGAGGAATGTCTCCTTTGTTTTTATACTATTTTAATTTTTTGGCTTGTTTCTGATCCTAACAGACGATCAGGTTCCAATCTTGCACAGCCCTTTGAGGCAAATTTGTCCTACTATTTCTGCAACTATGAACCCTTTGAACATAGAGCAAGTTATTTTTGGACATAAATATCAGCATTATTTGAATGGATTTCTTCAACCTGAGCTCATAGTTAATATTTTAGACAACGACAAATCTGTTTTCAAGTGTTCAATTCTGCAAAAAAAGCCCAGTCACAATGCACCACCAGCCATATTAATCAATGCCTCCTGGGAAGGATTACTGATCTCTATGGAGACACAAAGTTCCTGTTTAATGATGTGTCAAAGCATGCAAGCTTGACCTCTCATAGCTGAAGCTTCCCAAGCAAAACTCTCTCCTCTACACTGATGATGGACATCAGAAATGAGTTTCCTGCCAATTTTCTGTATTGGAATGACACACATTTTGCTCTAGAATTAATGAATAGCATACTTTCTAAAAAATGTCTGCCACAAGAAGCTTTTGGTTCAGTCCTCAGGGGATTTGAACTTATTGTATTTCAATGTTATGCAACGAAAAAGACATTAAAGTGCAATTATAAATAAAAGTGCTACACAGAAATGCTTAAGCTTTATAATATTCCAATCACCCAGTTATTAATGTCATTTGGAATCATTACCAGATAGAAACTCAGTGGGAGCTTTAAATGAGTTACAGAAAGCTCATACATGCTGCACATAACTACAACTCTATACAGTAAGCACAAGGGACCTTTCCCCATTATATCGTTAGTGAGAAAGGAAAATGAATTTCATTGGCTGTCAAATCGTGGTAATGAAAAGTCGGATGCGTTGAGTTTCACGCAGCAGACTTTACAGACGGGGACTACTTTCCATCAAACTAAATATATACATCTCCTGTCCTGCTGTCTGCTGCTCTACATACCTCATTTGTAATATTCTGACAAAGGGGTGGGGGGAAGGGAGGGGTGCACAGACAGCTGACGCACCGCGGCGCAGCGCTGCTTGTCTCTGTGCGCATCTTCATTCCGGCTACAGGAGGAAAGGTGCGCACACTGCCTGTCCCATCCTCGGATAGAAGTCTCCACTGAACTTCAATTCAAACGACTTTTCTCGGTTACTTTTCTTTCAGTGACGGATTTTGTGCTTCACAACTGATATTTTGGAGGACTTTTGAATTTTACGCTGATACAGAAGTGTGAGGGACAGAGAACTCATGACGCTCATTATTGAGGCTACAATGTGCCGATGAAGACTATGGGTGTACTGAAGACTTAGTGAAGAGTTGCATGGAATAATTGCACAAGCAGAAGTTAACTGATGGAGTTTAAAAGCACTTTTTCTGTTTCCGTGTGAAGTTCCCTCAGTTCTTCAATGATGGACGACAGACACCCGTCGAGGACTTTCACACCTGACTCCGCAGCTTTCGCCAACACATGAAAGGAAGAACTATGTTTTGTCTGATGAAATCTCGGAGCTTATCGGACAGCAGCAGGGCTATGGGGATCAGGCATGGGACAAAAAGCCAACATCACTCCAAACCCACCTCGAAAATATTCTCCATTTTTATATTGCTGCTGCTCATCTTCACTCCCAGAGTGGACTCATCGTGGTGGTGAGTGAGATCATTGACATGGATTTGGTTTAAATGACAATTAATTATTTTAATACTTGTAAAATAAATAGCCGCAGTGGTAGAAAAACAGTCTGAAAAACAGAACAAATAAATAACACAACCTAGAGGTCCTTGGTCCATTTTGACGATTCATGGGAAATACTGTTGTCATGAAGTCTAAAAACCTGATCAAACTTTACTCAAACTAAGTTCTAAAACATCATCAAAAACTTTCATTTTGATTCTGTGAACAGTCACAAAATAATTACCTTATTTTATAGACAATGTAGTAAAATATCTGTAGTTCAATAACATGAAAAAATAAATTGATCATCACCTCTGCATGGGAATTTTTTTCTGCTGGTTGTTAATTTTGAAAACATCAATGAAGAGTGAGATGTTAAGCTCAGCAGCGTGTGTCATGTGTTTCATGTGTTTCATGTGTTTCATGAAGATTTATGGTGTTTGGGGGGGAATCTCCCCTATCCATCCATCTTGGCCAGAGTAAGTGGCAGGTGCAGGCACTGGTGCATGAATAAATGCTCCTTGATGATTTCTCTTGAGGTTTAAAACGCCCAGAGGTGGGAAAAAAAAAACACACACACAGGGGTGTGAGCACCATGCCCCCGCCCTCCCCCTCTCCTACCCACCTGAAAAAGGTGCTCTCATGTGTCAGGTCACACGTACAGAAATTGTTTTTAATGTGTACTTTATAATTAACTAACCACACTGAAGCATTTCATTGAATTATGGCCCTGCACTGCAAAACAATTACACTCTGTAAAACAGATGGATTTAGATTAAAAAAAAATGCACCCTTTGTAAATAATGTTATGAATGGTAATTTCCCAAGAGAGCCAGTGCATATTTTATCTTATTTGCAATTGTGTAATCCCTTTTGTAGTGTTATGCAAATACATATTGAAAAAAAAGCAATTAGATCTGCGAGAATTTCTAGAGATACAGCGGGCATGAGAGGTTTGGAAGCTGTGTACAGATGAGTCCAACTTATTAAATACTGGTTTGTAATGTTCAAACCTATTTTTAACCACTGAGATGATTTAGATGAGCAGCACATATCTTTCTGTACAGGGACCGTCTTCCATCTCTCCCTCCCCCTCTCTCTCTCTCTATGTGTATGTCCTCTTGGAGACAGTCAGGGGTCTTTTGGCACAGCCGGTATGTACGACGCACAATAAACACTAGTAGTGCTTCTGCTCTGCTTTACTGCACAGGCTGATAGTTGCAGTCAGAACGGGGTGGGGAACAGCCATAACGGGAGTGGAAACTGCCTGCTCCGTCCGTTTCTGTCTCGGTGGCCAGGCGACACAAATGTGGCTGCGATTAGGGACTATAATGATATCCGGATGGAGAGTGGAGCGTGCAGGCTTAGAGGGGGAGGGAGGAGAGGTGGGAGGGAGGCGAGGTGGGAGGGAAAGGCCTGAGCGGTCACTTGCACTGTAGATGACTGTCCTCATGTCCTGTTGATAAGAGGCCCCCCACTGTCACAATAGCAGCAGCATGTGATCCGCCCTTTTAAGAGTTGCTCCAAAGTTAGGGATTATGTGTGAATAGAGCAGGAGGCAAAGGCCCGTCACAGGGAACAAGTGGTTTTTCACTGAATGGGAGGAATTTAATAATCTCTTCCACATCCTGAATTTATGCCCCCTTTCACACATGTACTCCTGACAATTTCAGGATATTCAGTTCCAGAAAATTTTCAAGAATTTATTTCACAGCAGAAGATTGGCAGTGTCTGACGTGCTCTTAGAACTTGAAATACTAGTGGCGCTGATGGCATAGCTGTTACGTTGTACCTCATGTACGGAGTTTATTCCTTCAAGTGGGCGGCCTGGGTTCAAGTCCAACATATGGCTCCTTACCCGCATATCATTCCTCATTCCCTCACCCTGACTTTTTACTCTATCCACTGTCCTGTATCTTAATAAAGGCAAAAAGCCTAACAAATAAAAAAAAAGAAAGAACTTGAAATACTCTATTTTGTTTTGGTGGTGGTGGTGTTAAGTGGGGGGCACCTGGGTAGGACATGCAGGGGAATGAGGAAGAGGCATCTGTTTATGTCTTTGTACTATCTATTGATTCTGCAACAGTAATGTTAGTGTCCCAGTTTGTAGTTCACAGTGTGATACTGCATTGCAGTAGCATACACACTCTCAGACATGCACACACACAGCACTGTTCTGCCTCACCTGCTCCGCTGCTTTGCAGTGCCTCCGTTACTACTGAGGCCTGCACAGCAATGGGACGACTTGGTCACACCAACAATCATTACAGGGATGTAAATATTGCACCTTGAACTGGCAATATGACAAGGGCGAGTGTAAAAGTCATCAACCCATCCACTATTTCATGGAAAATGTTCCTATACCTGCTGTGTTCACACATCTGGTCACCCCCACTTTACAGACATGTTATGTAGGGGCTGGCAAGGAAACAACTGTATTAAGTTGAGGTGAGCAGATTTGGACATTTTGTTTTCACATAATGCTACCCTCCCTGACCAAGCTGGAACAATTTCAGGTGTGCAGTGTATTTGTTTAATAGGCTCAATGGTCTTAAGTAGACAGAAACTTTTGACTATTGGATGGTGGGCAAACTAATAGAAATCGAATCATCAATCTTGAACAGAAGGAACAGTTTGAACATATGGAAAATATACTGGCTTCCCCATTTCCTTTTTTTGTTGAGAGTTGAGAGAAGACTGACACATTGCGCTTGTCTTAACCAAACATGAAGCTACACAACAGCTACTTATCCTAGCCTGGATCTGTCCAAACATGACATATTCTCCCTAATGTCATCTATGAGGCACAACAACGCATTGTGAGATGCATTCTTAGTTTCTACCATATGTATGAATAACAACTAGTTGATATTTTGATACTTATAATGTTTGGTGCAATTCAACATGGTAAAACAAATGTGAAAAGTTAGGTTCAGAAATGAAATCGTCAAAACATTTTCTCTTGGTAAAATGTAACAGATTGTGTGATATGGGTAAATAACATCGTCTGAAATCGATTGCAGGTTCCTGAATTAAATCAAAGCAAAATGGTATCATGGCAGACTTTGTGATATCAGCAGGACTTTGAAATGTTTAAGTAAATGAAGGCAAGAAATCCTCCAAAAATGTGACATGGACTTCTTTGCAAATGGTTTGCTGTCTTTACAGCTGCACTTAATATATATTGTCCAGACCAGGTGTGGTTTCTTGAATGTTTCCAACTACAATTGGCTTGTAATTATGAGTAAAAGTGCAGTATGTCCCATTTGATAAGAGGACCTAAAAAGCATAACATTAGCAAAATAGCTGCAAGGCAATCATAGCCTACACTTAAAGTTAAAGAAGTCAAGTATAAAAACATACACATTTGATAAAGCTACTTTTTAGGTAAGGGTGAAAAGTTTTGCACTTGGTGAATATGTAATGAAAAAAGCTGAGATAACCATGAAGAAATAATTATGACATCACTAAGGCTTTTTTTCTCAGATTTGGCAAACCTCCTCCAGAGCCAGCAATTTACTGCAACACTAAGAATCTCTCTTAAAGACTTATGATGAACATAAACTTTGTGTACAACTGGGAAAATGCTCCTTCATTTTTATCTTGATTTATTTTGTGTTTAATCTGTGTCTGCAGGTACATCGGGGCGCTGGGAGCTCGGGTGATTTGCGACAACATTCCCGGCCTGGTGAACAAGCAGCGACAACTGTGCCAGCGACACCCGGACCTGATGCAGTCCATTGGCGAGGGAGCCAAAGAGTGGATTAAAGAGTGCCAGCACCAGTTCAGACACCACCGCTGGAACTGCAGCACGCTGGAGCGGGACCGCACCGTGTTTGGCCGGGTGATGCTGCGAGGTGAGTGAGCACACATGGGAGAGGGGTTTCTATCTGTGTGCTTGTGCGTGACAGTGGTTGTTTATGTCGATGACAATCAAGTTAATCATCCTCGTAAATGTCTCTGCCGCTGCCAGATAAGCAGAGAATTAATAGGTGTCTTATAAAACCAACTTTGCTCTAGAGTACAAACAGAAAGAGAAAGGGCTGTAGCTTTTTTTTTTTTTTTACCTTCTCAGGAATGAGATTGGGAAAGTGGATGTTCCCCGAAAATAAGTAGCAGATCACCATACTAGTGATGTATAAACAGTAATACAGAGATGTAAATATTTGGGTAGATGTTTCTGGCAGCCAGACAAAGCTTTACTCCCTGACATATCGCCTGTGTTCTGCTTCATTGCGTGAGCAAGAAGGAGGACAAGAGGTGGGTGGGAAAGCCAGACCAAATAACCCCAGAAAATCTCCTCTTGTCTGAAATGAAAACACAGCCCAGTGACAGAGAAAGCTGCCAACTGTGCAAATTAAAAAAGGTGAAAGGAGAGTCGGCTGGAGTGTGATGTTATAGCTGACATGCTGCTTCCTCTGTCCGGACCATCCACCATAAATACACTGATTCCTCTGCTGCTTTGTTGAAGAGCAGAAACACACAACACAGAAAGTCAATTGCTGCACTGATTAAGCCTATATACTTAAAGCAATGTTCTTCTTTTTGAGCACTCAGGTAGTCGTGAGGCAGCGTTCGTGTACGCCATCTCTTCGGCCGGAGTGGTCTACGCCATCACCAGGGCCTGCAGTCAGGGGGAGCTAAAGATCTGCAGCTGTGACGGCCACAAGCGAGGCCAACACAGTGATGACAGGGGAACCTTCGACTGGGGCGGATGCAGCGACAACATCAACTACGGCATTAGGTTTGCCAAGGCCTTTGTGGACGCCCGAGAGAGGATGGGAAAAGACCCTCGTGCATTGATGAACCTGCACAACAATCGCTGCGGTCGGATGGTAAGAAGAAGCTTCACAGCTCTTTCTAGAAAGACATTTTCTTTTGGCCATCCCTGACATTGGCTTGTCTTGGATGATTGTACTGTAGGAAATCTTGCAAAAGTGCGTTTTAATAGTATAGATGGCAAACGTCTTCCTTAATGTTGAAATAGCAGTTAAAGTTGTCCATGTTTTTTTCCAGAGGTTTCCATACAGTATGCATTAAGCACAATTTTAAAGTCCTCAATTAAGAATCATTGCTTATAGAGTTAAGCAAGTTTTAGTTAGTTTTAGTTAAGTTTTTAACAGCTCGTATCTTCTGTCAGGTAATATTTCAATTAGTTCTGCAAAATACAAATATTTCCATATTCAATAAATGACAATATATGTTATTGATTATGAGGATTATGTTTCACTTCACTCTTAGCTTATTAATTATTTGGTCACTAAAATCTCAAAAGATCACTGACAAATGTTTTCTCTGTATTTTTCCAACTTTTAATCAAAAGTCTTACTTTGTCCCACCATCAATCAAGAGTTCAACATTATCCAGACGCTCTTGAAAACTGATTGGTCAGTTGATCGATTACGATTGACGTTTGGGCCAAGTGTTCATTGTTTATGTTACCAACGTTACAGGAGCTTAAAGAGAAGAACAATATGATATCATTCTGCTTTCCTGTCAAGTTAAAAGTCCTATCAACAAGTAATAAAATGAGATCAAATTCAACAGCAGGTTTAACACTGATGAGCTTGTTTTACAAAAAGTACAACATAACATCAGAACATAATGTGCCAACAGGACTGATCATACCTAGATCGTGCTATTGGCAGCATCATAGGCTTAACACCTCGTCACCTTTGACTTGTGCTGCAGGCAGTGAAGCGCTTTATGAAGCTGGAGTGCAAGTGTCACGGGGTCAGCGGCTCCTGTTCTCTGAGAACCTGCTGGCTGGCTATGTCTGACTTCAGGCGGACTGGAGACTACCTCCGTAAGAAGTACAACACAGCCACTGAGGTGACCGTGAACCAGGACAGGATGGGCTTCATGGTGGCTGACAAGGACTTCAAGGGAAGCACCAAGAATGAGTTGGTTTATGACGAGAACTCTCCAGATTATTGTCTCATGGACCGCTCAGCAGGTGAGTGAATGAAAGAATATACAATCCTGATGTATTTAGGCCATGCAAGGGTTTTGAGATAGATGCAGATTTGACTGCTCTAGTTAGACAAGATAGCTGGATATCTGGTTAACTTCAGGAGCTACTGTCATCCATATAAATAATTAATTTTTTATCACAGTACTTGTTATCCACACAAAAATATCTCAATGAAAAAAAAGTTGTTTGTCATTTTTACTAAGTACATGGATTATGATCTTGGACACCAAAGCAAAGTAAAATATTTCAAAATGACTTCATGTACATTTTATACAGAATATGTGTCAGTGAAACATTTTCAATTATTCTGAACCTTGCCGAGCATATTTTAGCTTGTGTTAAATAATGTTGATTCTCAGTGTAAAATCTTGCAATGCTAAAATTTCAAATTTCTGGTTCAATTTTTAGCAGGTGTTTGGCGCTATGTGGGTTTCAACAACATCTCTGATAGTCCGAGACTTTTAAACTGAAGGCTTACATTCCTTCACAGCTTAAAATTCAATGATTTGACCTTTAACATCTCCTTAAATTCCTAGTGTTTGCTTTTCCTGTTAAGCTCTGTCCCTGTCCTCCAATCCAGCTCCTTTAGTAGAGCGTGAACGAGTTCACTGGCTCAGTAGGAAAGATAGAGTGCACATGAGCAGGAGAGGACATGAAGTTATCAGATTCTGCCACTCTGCCCTGTTGCTGGTTGACAACTGAGGGTTAATGAAGGTGTGTTTCTTCAAAGGAAAAGCTGTCTTTTCTTGTTAAAAGGTGATCTTAAAATAAGCTTATGACCCTCCTCGCCACTAATCTCCATTGTATTGGAATTCACAGCCTTGGGATACATGCAGGCTTATTTTTCAAATCCTTCCTTTGGTCAGTATTAAGCTCCACTCCCAAGAGCCTGAGGGGAATAACTGCTCTTATCCTTTTCTCTTTACTTCGGGGATGCTCTGTTATTAGACCTGGTACCTGATCTTGGGCCTAGAATTAACACCTGAGAACATGGACACTATTGTGTTGGGCTCTGAGACTATTTAGTAGGCCTGTCGGGAAGCCAATGCCTAGCTGAAGAGTGTGGGAAAAGGGATACTTTGCTGTGGAAATTACAGTGACAGTTTTTAGCATCAAATGATCTTTTGTACACAAGGTCAAATGCCAGAGTTAGCAGTTCCTGACATATATAGTATCTGTATTTAGAAAATAGCTGAAATGTCTCTGACCGTCGGTAACGAGTCATTAATAGAAAAAAAGAAATGGAGTTTAGAGGTGGGAAAAAATATTGTCAAGCTTTTCATCTTCTGAGATTTAAATAGAATCATAACTTCCAAAAATCGATTATTTTTTTGGATAATCAGTCACTCCTGCTAAGTGCTAATGCCACCTCTTTAACTCAGTAGAAGGCCAAATGGAGCAGCAAGAAATTCAGCCAGTCTCACAGATGACAGTAGTAGATCCTGAAGTATGAACTAATTCAAGAATAGACCATGAACCGTTTCGAATCAAAAATAGATTCTGATTCGTAGGGTAACCCCAAGAAGCCAAATCCAATCCAATTGTGAGACACTCAAAGATTCCCAGTTTTAAGGGAGTTGGTCCTGAGTCCCCACAGCAGCTGTGTGCACCATTTTTCCTCTGCGCCGTGGTTTTGCTCTGTCCAATGGCATGTGCCCTGGGTGGCAGGTACCTGGGGCCATCCAGGCACTCTGTAGGAAGTAAACGTGAGGGGAGGATGTGAACTAAGGGAGCTCAAGGGGAGTGTGTAGTAAGCTAAAGAGAAAGTCTCAATTTTCTATATGAACTAAATGTATTGATAAAATGTACCATGCAGCCCCAACAGATCATGTAGTGTCAGCAGTTAGTCTGTGTAAAGATGGGTGTTGTAAGAGAGCAATAATACCTACAGTATATCGATACAAATACAGCAATACTGCTTATCGAAACTGTATCTTATGTTTATAACTCTTTATGATTGAAAAACATAGATGTGACAAAAGAGCTTTAACTGTTCATATCATATATTTCTCAGCAAAATGTGTTATTGCTGCTTGACTGATGTCTTGGGATTGTTAGGAACATAAGATGTGTTTCAACCAACAGTTAACCGTGTCCTGAGTTTATGACTTTAGTCAGTGTAATCTCTCCTCTTTTGGAGCTACATCATAGTACAACCAGAAATGCACAAATAGCAGCATGATTGGCTGTAAACTTCACAAAGCAGGTCACTAAACTATCTTTGATTGAAGCCATAATAAGGGTGGGCGGTACTCCAGTCTATTTGCTTCTTTGATGCTCTCCGTTTGGCTAAACCTGCTATACCACTTTTGAAGCCGTCAGAGATAACATTTCATTACATTCTAACCCGCCTTGCTGCTTTGTAATTGGGTTAAATGCAGGTAGAAATTAAACTTTCATGGTCAGGCAGCTTTAGGACAAAGTGTTGTGATAACTTTGTTGTCATTTATCATCTACATGAAAAAAAAACTAAAATATAAGCTAATAATTCCCGGATGCAGCTTACATTGACATTATTCATTAAAATACAAGATTTCATATTTTTCCATTCCAGAAAAAAAAGATGTAATCTCCCTAACAATATTCTATTAATTTTCTGTACAGGCTCTTTGGGAACAGCGGGCAGAGTGTGCAACAAGTCCTCCAGAGGAACAGATGGCTGTGAGGTCATGTGCTGTGGGCGGGGCTACGACACCATGCGTGTCAAACGTGTCACCAAGTGTGAGTGCAAGTTCAAGTGGTGCTGCGCTGTGGAGTGCCAATACTGTGAGGACATGGTGGACATTCACACCTGCAAGCCCCATAAGCGACCTGATTGGCTGGACGTGACCTAAGAAGGAGACCTGACCTATCACAGTTTCCACTGACCATTAACCTGCGCACTAATTTTATTAAAAGATATGTAATTGGGATCTATTAACTGTAATACCTCTGGCTTACGATCTTTCGACACTTCCTGGAACTGAAACTTCACAGACCTTGAGGCTCAACTGGAAATTAGAACCAGTTACTGATAATGTGCTGCTTTAAAAACTGTTTCCAAGAACCACTTCTCCAAACTTTTTAAAGACATTCTTAAAACCTTTATGTACCACTGGTTGATGCAAATATATGAGATAATATCTGCTTGTTTTGCAATATATTAAAAAGGTGTGAGCACATGACATAGCGCAAATTGTTGACAATTTTTATAGCAATATTTAGTCTGGAGAGACATAAAGAAAGACGAGAGACCCTTCACACTATTGTAGAAGCATTGACATTTTAATATGCAAAATGATATGAAGTCATTCTATGTTACTGTGAGAAAATCTTCCACATACAAAAGACAGCTGCTGCTGCTGATGAGTGCATCTATGAAGAACTCACACAAAGTCAGAGGGTGTTTATGAAAATATGAACAAAAGCAGACAATCACACTGTGAACCAAGCGAAAACCACTGACAAGAGCAACAAGCAAAGCAAAGACAAGTTCAGACTTTTAGCTAAAGTGGCAGCACTTTCAGCTCAACACAATGAACTCTGGAAGGTTTTTTTGTGAGACAAAAAGGAAACTCTAAGAGATGAATATGAAGCTTCACATGGATCATGAGCTGTTTTCATACAGTATCTAACAGTTTTTTTAAAGTCTGTAATTGTTCCAACACATTCTGACTGTGTTGCCTTAAAGGAAATGTGAGTTCTACCTCTGGTTCTCCTTTGTTTCAGTGTTACACTTACTCACATCCTACGGTCCTTGCATTCATCAAAAAAACTGCAGCTACCAAAAAAAGGTATTTAGTAAAAAAAACTATTTTCTGCAACCTACCACAGTTTTTCAGCAAAACGCTGAGTAGGCCAACCACATGCGCCTATACTGTGATTCCATTGTTCACCTGATGGTCATACAGAACCCCTAAAGTCAAGCGAGAAAAAACAAACAATCTGGTGATCCCTTTCCTCCCCTCAGTTTTTGTCTTCAGCTGCCAAAATCCATTAACGACCCAATTAGATCATCTTTTAGATCTTATATCATTGGAACCTTAAACAATCGACCCACAGTTTTTCTCTGGTTGCACTTGTTTTGTATTTATCCAGTCCTTTTAACCTTTTTTGATGGCAGTCAACTCTAGAACACCTCGTCCTTAGATGCTGAAGGCTATGGAAATATATTTTTTTAAACTTAATAATGCTACAATACCATACTAGTTTGTACCCATCCCCTCAATCTATATACAAGTTTTTAAGGTTTTAAAGCTACGGACGGCTGCTGATATGTTTCATCATGTTTAACAAGATATTGTGCCCAATGTTTCCAATAAAATCCCTTCATGATGGTCAGGTAGGGGTTTGTTTCTTCTAAAACTGGGTGCTGGTTGGTCTCAGTTGTTGAACTGCAACTTAAAAAAAAACGTCTGGTTTTGATACCAGTAAGTGATGCAGTTGCATGAGGCTCATATTTAATTAGCATCATCTTAATTACTGCCACATTCAGCAGACAACAGCTGTGTCAACAGTTCACACTGGTGACAACAACGTAATGTGACTACCCTTTAATACGAAGGCCTTACAGAGTGCGTGATAAAAGTGAGTTATATGCTGCTATGTTTTCATACAACCTAACAAACTGAACAGCAAGATATGTACAAAGCTGCATATTGTAATTGTACAGAAGGTGATAATAAAATAAAAGGTTCCTGTTCATGAGAGCTTAAATATGTATGAAGTTCTGTTGTTGTTTTTAAACCAGTCATGATTATAAACACTGTGTTTCCAACGTATGTGTTTGGTTGTATCTAAATGTATGTAGATTTTCTAATCATTTTGTCAGACAAATCACTGACTCGTGCAACTTTCAGTGCTCACATTTGCTGGCGCTGGAGGTTTGATTTGTGAGAAGTGAAGTATTTTGTGAAACCTGGCCAAGAAGACATTGCAGAATAAGCAGTGAGGTAGCAAAAGACCCTGAATTTAGCTTTGAAACATCTGGTAGTGTGGCCCGACATCACGTTAGGCCGTTGGAGACACAGCCCTCCAAGGGATTTATAGATCTAAATGAATCTGACAACAAGCTGTGGATGCTGAGAGTCAACAAATTTTTTCACGTCCACGTAATGAGAAGGGGAGCCAAAGTAGAGTGCTTTGTACGAGGCTAAGTGACACACCATGTCAAACGTTCACAAGTCAAAAGTTAATTGCGAACAAAAGAGGCTGTTTTAAATGTAAATGAGGAGCACCATGGCCATGTTTTCTTTAAGATTAGAAAGGTGAGAGCTGTTCACACACGATGGGGGCCAACCTAAGCCTTAGCTGCTCCAAGCCTGAAAAAATTATATTTAAATTCCCTAGTTGTACAGAGTATAATAAAGCACAACACCCACACTTTCTGTCTGTTATGTGATGCCTAAATCCACATTTGAAACCACTCAACCCCACACTAATCTGTGCATTGGAATCAAATGGTTAAGGGTGAATGTTGTCATATGTTCAGCTGAATCTATTTACAACGCTGACATGACCTTAAAATAGTTACACTTCAACAAAATAATCTTGTAATAATACATGTATATGCAATACAACGCACTTTTCGTTTAAAACAAATCTCAATGTGCTGTCATGTCTCATTAACAGGTTGGATTTGTCTGTTAAGGCTTGGTGCCACATGGTCAATTTAATATTCGGCCATTGTTTGTTGAAACAGTGTGCTAGTTTTTCTTCCTGTCCAGGGATATTCTCCCCTTGAAAGGGGAAACAGGTCATAAAATACCTTACTGGCTCTATATTAAACCTTGATAATCCACCGTCTGTCACTCCCATTAAAGGTCTTCCGTTCTCTACAAATGTATGTCTCTTCTGTTTTAGCCCTTTTTCCTTAGGGTGAGGGTACTGATAACATTAATGGAGAGAGTTTACTGAAAGTTCCTCATTTTTCAAATTAATGTCCATGTTCAAAATTACTTAAAAACAAGTGCAGATAATTAACGGATTAACGGACGTGTGCCCAGCTCTGAAATGTAATACTGTTTCAATACAGAGCATGAACTGATGTGCTGCACAGAGAGTTTATAGCTATTGCTAAATTGTCCCTAGTTGGGGACAATTCTCGCGTCTTACATGTGAAGTAATCCAAAAAATATTTTACTGAAAAATCTAAACTGATTGGCACAAGGTGGGCTTTGAAAGAAATGAAGTAGAGACTTCTTATCCAAATAGAATCTTATAAGAATGGTACAACAGGATTTTTCTTGGTACATTAACGTCAAACAATTAGCTTTGTTTCTCCCCTAGAGAGAAGATAAATAACACCATGCTGATCTTCAAAGCTGTCATAGTATCAGTTATCCTTTGTCCCCCCACAGAGTGTGATCCAGTAAAAATAACAGGAGCTGCATTGTAGGCATTCCCTGCCATCAAAGTGATATCAAATGGGCATCTCAATGTAACAACATTTCAAAACTAAATTTGGCCTGAGGGACAGACTAACAGTGTGGTCCACATGGATGCTTCACATTCAGGAAACCAGAGTAGAGGGATGTTGTAATCCATGCTTACAATTTGTAATGAGTCAAACACAATACAGTGGTGTGTCAGTTATGTACTAAACATGGTCAGCATTATCCTTCAACTTGTCCGACAAGACCTCCAATCCAAAACACTGCACTACACCTAATTACATGATTAATATGTATGATGTACAGCATTGTGTTGATGTGCTTACATTGTGAAATTGTTGCTCTCCAGGCTATTTAGGGAAGTTGTTGAAAATGTTTGGCAGAACGGTCTGAGTGGTTTCTCTGTTGTTCTTGGAAAAGAGGGTGGCCCTTAAGACCTTATCGGCTGTAATTAAGAGCTTTTGCGGACATAAAATTGGACTTGACTATGGCTGATGTAGTTCAGTGCATTAACTTTCCTTGCCAAGTGACATCATACCCATTTTTAACTCAGAGAAGTGTAAAATCAAACTACAAATCTTAAATATAGTATGTTGCTCTAATACTAAAGTCCCGAAAACTAAATTGTTTTACAGCATAAACCTTCATGCTAGCTCCACACTCTTGGCGCATGCAGTCATACAACAAATACGTCTGAGTGGAGTTAAAAGATAGTCAAACATCAGCAGTCTACACACCCCAATCCTGGTGGGGGTAATTAAACAACAAACAAAGAAGAAGCATACACAACAAAAAACAAACACAATAAGAGTAACATATGGTTGCAAGGTGAGCCTCTGGATGTGAAAGCAGAGAGGATCAAAGACATCACTGAAGCTAATACATTTTAAGGCTATGCGCGCATACAGATGTAGAGGATCCTGGCTTCTATTTATTATAAGTGCTGAAACCTTGTTACAATGTCCCATCCATGTGCCACTCCAAAATAATATATAATACATTTCTCCTTAAGGTATGTATTTTAATGTGTTTTATATCAGCCTATTGTATTGTATTTATTCTATATTTTCAAATTGAAGATGTTATTCATTCTTGTGTTTCTGCTTTTCTTGTATCAGTTAGTTTTGATTTCCTCTGTTTTGTTTTAATGTACAAGCTGTACCACTACCAACTATCCCAGGTAGTTCTAAATGACACTAGATGAAAGAAAAAAACATGTATTACTGTCTGTTCTAAATAAATTAGAGGAACCTTTAAATACACATCCAGGAGTTTGTTGTTGCTTTTTTCCTGTTGAACCAAACTTGTACCTCAATGTGAACATAATATTGAGGTACAAACTGAGCTGTGAACTCTGAGCCACACCCCTATAATTAGCATTAAATGTGATAGGCCTAGTTAATCATAAACCATTACAGCAATAAAGCATAGGCTACTGCGGTTAACACAATGCTTATTTCACTCCCCTATATGAATTTTATTTTGCAAGCAAAAGTCTAATGTTAATCCTGGTGTAGTTCCATACAATACTGTTGAAAAGATAGTTCAGGCCAAAACAACTGTAGTCGATGAGATATGCCACACAAAAATCAGCTGCATCATTCTACGTAAGCACTCAAGCACAATTTCTTTTTACCACAAGCAACATAAATTACTGGCCCAAACAAAACTCAAAAATAACCTGTGGTACTTCAAAGCAGCGTTACAGAAAAAAAAAACACACAGCCAGCAGTTTTAGCAGTGGCACAATTCATCAATATAATGATGAAATGATGAATAATTGCCAAGCACAAAAATGGCCACAAAGACATTACAAAAGAGAAGCAGTTTAGCATGTAAAAAAAACAGCTTAAAAAAAATCAAAATCATGGGAAATTCCTGCCATGGGTTCATCACCTGACCCACTCTGACACCACACTCTGGTATACAACTTCCGGTGTATAATGGTGGTTCGGCCAGATCACTTACCTGAACTACGGGGATGTTTATTTTCGGCAGGAGTAGCACTTTCACTCGATCAATTTTGCCAACTTTTTGCCACGTTAAACCCCAGAGAAAGATGCGAAAGTTGGCAGGTAAGCTTTTTAATTAAACACAGAAAAGGCAGCAGAAGGTACTGTGGTGTTAATAGTGACTTGTTTCAGAAGTGAAGTTAACAAGGGAGGAGTGTAGCAGACATTGCAGGGGTGCGTTAGATTTGTTCGTCAGCCATACGTAAGTCACATGATTACCTGAACCACAGACTGTTTATAAAATACTGACACACAGACCAAGATTGTTTTTGTTATTCTTATTCATCACGTTGGATAAACGAAAACGGCGTAGGCCAATGTTTAATTAAAAAAAAGGTCAAATGCACGTTTTTTTTTCCAGTTGAAGTGGTTCAGATATGATGGCCAAATCATTTGAGAGGAGGAAAAAAAGTCTGTTGACTGCTGTCTTCCTACTTACTCAATGTGTGGGCATCAGAAAGTGCAAACAGGCTACTGAAGGAAGAGTAAGTCTGGTATTGTAATTTCCTAATTATTTTGAAAGCTTGAGATAACAAAGCTAATTTTCTTGTGATAACTGGTTAATTTATCTCAAGAAAAAAAATGGTTTCATTTGAAGAGATGTGAGGTAATTTATCAAGTTGAAACAATTGTTTCTTAAGATAATTGTATAATTATAGATAACTCACAAATGAGTGTCTGGTTCAGTTGATTATTTCAACGGAGACCACAATCAAGACTGTCAGGGGAGAGCAGTCTGATTCTTTAATTAACATTTTCTGATGGTTAAGTCTACTCCTGATCTGTCTGGAGATTAAAGGCTTGCTTTTGCAAGATATTGAAATATGACCAATGATCTTGAGAAAAGAGGGACAGATAACTAATAGCGAGCACTTCGATTCTTGGCTTAGGTAAAAAAAAAAAAAACAATCCAATGAGCTACTGTAGCCTATAGCTCACATTTTCCCAATTAAAAAAAATATTTTACACCAAATTTTCACAGAAGGATCTATTTGTACAAACTAAAACAGACCCATGGATAGACGTGAACACATGCATGTGGACAGTTTTTTTTTTTTTTTAATACTGCAGGCACATGTTTGACCCTTAAAGAAATCTGGTTATCAACTAGAAGAGTCATATTTGAGTACTGGTGAGCTATATGGAAGAGCAGCAGGTTTTAGCACACTTCATAAAAGTCAAGTCAAGACTGCGTCTGAAGAGTGTCTGTGTAGGACGCTATTTACTTTCCATCACATAAATGTGCCCTGTCTACTTGTACCTACTCTACAGGCTATGGTTCCTATATACTGTAATGTGCTACTTCTGTGTTCTTTCTTTTTGTTATGTTCCCTTGACTTTGATACACTTGGCTACAGAGGTCAATGAGCTATTCATATTTCAATGTGCAGCACATAACCACGCTCTGGCACTGAGATCAAACACTTGAGCATCCGTCAACAGTCCTCTTCAGTGATTTTCATTACTGCTGCTCACCACTTAAGAATGAGTGTATGGAGTCTGATTATGGCACCAGTGGTTCACTGGGAACATGCCACACAGAAGCATCTGCTGATGGTGGTGGAGTGGTGTAATCATAAAGATGGCTCTTGGCTTTATATAGTGCAGGAGCAGCAGCAGGCTGGCAGAGTGAGTTGTTTGTCCTTGAATGAGATACCAACTTGCTGTCAATACAGCAGTGATTTAAAAGAGGAAGGAAGATGAGATCCATCATACAAAATTAAAGTTTTTATGTCACCCACTTAATGTTGAAAGTAGTTTGCTTTTCAGATCACAAGGGTATGGTTGCCTGTTGAAATTGTGGTGTATTTTCTGATCAGACTAATGTTCTTTATGGGATGGTTTATGTCGTTTTACATGTCTTGTCCAGCATCTACACATGAATTTAGATAAATAATGAAACCAAGGAGGAACATAAAATATATCACTTGAGGCATAAGCACTGAAAGAGCAATTTATTGTGAGTTTTGCTTCCAAACTCATCCAAGGGTTTTTACAGCCATTCAAACATTCTCCTGTCTCCAGCATGTACTCTTACATTTCAGCTGCATGCTACAAAATCAGACATTTCAAGTGTCATTAATTTGAACAGACAGATATCACAGGCAACAGGTGGAAATATCAAGACGTTTAGAGTGAATCAGGGTTATTCAAAATATTAACCAAATTTGAAACACACTGCAGTAAAACATGTCTGTGTGAGTCCGTAGGTCACAACAAGCAACCTCCCTTTCTTCTCTTTTACAAGTACCAGTATATTTGCCTCACTTGGTTGCAATATAAAGTACAGCAGATGATTGGGTTATAATATAGTGAAACAACCAAAGGTATCTGATTACAAATTGAAGGGGTCGAAATTAAGCAGAATTGGCACTAACCTTCACATTCTGTTGTAGGTGAAGAATATGGTTTTATTTGACTTGTTATACTCAAATTGTTGTGTTTTTGTGATGTACTAAAAGGCACTTTGTTATCACTTTTTTTTTTTTGTTACATGAGGAGGAATGGGATGTCATTCTTGGGCATGAACCTATTACATAACACGCTGCTACTCATCCTGTAGGTTTGGGTTATGCAAGGACAGCTTGTGTATAAAAAGGTGTTTTTTTTCATTTACAATTTCTATCAACACACATACTTTTCTGATAAGTAGTTACATAATCAGCCCGTTCATTTTAGAATATACTTTAAACCAAGGTGTTAACTGATATCCCAGCATGTTAAGTCTGATAAGACAGACCGTAAATCTTTCACAAAGGAAAACAAAATGTCAACCAGTTACTGTACTATTCCACACATTTCTGGCATTAGGAATAGATCCAGTTAAAGGCAGAGCGAGCCATTTAGTACATTTTACCCACTACCTCCACATGATTCTATGATGGGTGGTCAGTGCATTGAGAACAACAGTAATCATGTGTATTACTTTGATAGTTAAATTGCCAGTTAACCTTTAATGTGAGTCTTATTTCTATATATTTTTTTAACGTTGACTAACCCACTGACTCATCAAGCTGCAGAGCAATTGGCAGATTCATTTGGATTAACTGTGACCAGTGATGATCCCGTTAACTTTTTCGTCGTTGCAGGGGTTGCGTTGGTTGCTCCAGTGATATAGTGCTGAGGTGTCATGCCATGGTAACAACTGCTGAACCGCAGAGGCGTTGTATACACTGCAGGCACTCGGAGGCCATAAATCACAGCCCTGTTTTCAGGAGATGTTACAGACTTTTGAATTTGCTTTAGTGGAAGTCTGCAGGGCATTTAGGGTTGATACAGGACACACAAGTTCCCATCCAAAATACTAAATGGGACCTTTTGATGCATTTACTAACAATCGCAGGGGACATAGGGCTATGGGATCACAACAGTTACTTATTCTTCATGAACCAGTTGTTTTTGTTTCTTGATGTCAGTTACATGCTGGTTTAAACATTATTCTGACAAGACAACACTTAAAGAACCATCAAGTTATGTTTAACTACCCCCCCCCCCCTGATTTTAGGGCCTCTCAAAAAATTACTTTTTTCATTTTTGTACCCACAAATAAAAAACCTCAGCCAGGCCTTGAGGGATCTTTAAAAACTTCAAATTGTCCAATTCAAACACAAGAGCAAATGAATGACCCTGTGAAATTGTTGCAAATGTTATTCGCTAAATGTGGTCTTGGAAAAACACTGGCAGCTCAAACAGTGTGGGAGAGCATCTTAAGAGTGGTATTGCCGTGTTGATACAACCTCAGCCAACATAATCAGTAACAATGCAGCAAGTGGACAGTAATGCTGAAGACAGGAGAGCAAACTCTTTTTGTCCAAGGGTTTGAAGTGGTATTGGTGTGTGTATCTGTGTGTAGTATGTGTGTGTGTGTGTGTGTGTAAATGTGTGTAAGTGTGTAAGAGTGTTTGAGGGATGGGGTCAGATCCGAGTCAGCTGGTGCCAAAAACTGGACGGCATGAAGCTTTCCATCTTGTCTGCGAAGAAACCCAGGGGTGCAAAGAGTGTGCTGAAGAACTGAAAGGGAGAAAAAGCAGAATGAGCGTTCAGTAAAAACACTTTCCCACCCATTAGTGGATAATGTTTATGCATAACACTTCAAATAAAGTATCCAAGTCCACAATGAACAGACACAATGTTACAGGATTTACACATTCCCTCTGAAAGCATTTGGAAATTTACTCAAACTGTGATTTAAAAGGGAAAGTAAAACAAATGCTGAGCTAAGAAGTTAAAGTAAAAATAAAATAAAAAGAGATGAAACATTGGATTGTTTTTTCTAGCCGTTTACATGATTTTGATATGATACAAAGCATTTCTAACTGTATGCATTTGCAACAGCTGATAATGTACACATAATCCAGAACCTTCCATGAATACAAGGTAGAGAAAGTCTGCAGCATTACCTGAGTATATCCATTTTTAATAGTTTGTTTAAGCTACAATCCTGACTAGTGCTGCATCGATTGAGCAAATCAGGGCCGATACCGATGTTTGAAATAACAATTGAGCTGACTGCCGATTCTGATACTTCCACAATGACACCATTGATTTCAATACAACTATGAAATCAAGTCAGAGTATGTTCAACGAGTGACTTAATCTACCCAACAAATAAACCTCTTCTCTGAATCAGAGTAACATGTACTAGATGTTAACATTAAATTGATTTGGGTACTGCTACTGACATCGGTTCATGCAACATTACTTATCGATGTGCCAATGTCTGTCAACAGGGCCAATGCATCCCTAATCCTTACTGTTAAAAAAAAGATCTGATCTGGTGGACACATTATAAGTCATGATTAACATGTCAGAATACTTTGAACATCATCAAATCAATCATGCTAATTCTATCTGTTTCCATTTCCGTCTTAGACATTTTTAAATAAATGTGTTTTTTTTTTTTTTAAAAGCATTTTTTTTTTTAACATACAGAATTGGTAAAAGGCAAGCCATACATCCAAACCAGAATAAACGATCCACTCAAGGTTTTATGATGTAAGATTTCAAGGGAAAAAACAGAGCAATGAGCTTTGTTCGATTATTATAGCAAAACAGGTTTCTACTTCTGTAGTAATATGCTAATTTGACTTTTACTCACAGAATATGTCGTTTTTTTGCTGCCCCCTTTTGACACAACAGTTCCCCTTATCTCTGTTCTGTACATGTTTAAGAGGTATTACACAAATAAACATTCTGCTATCTTTTAATAATCAAACATATCAGTTATTTGCTGTGGAAAATCAAAAAAAAAATAAAAAAATGGCAGTTTCAGCCGAGTTTGTTAATCACGTCTTCTGATACCTACCCCCTGGCAGCAGTTTAAGGCACTTGTAATTGCATTAAAGAAAAGATCTATCTTGACGCGGATGGTCTTTTTTCTTTAGTGGGTCATCGGCATCCTTTTCATTCTGTTTCATAACTCAGTCTGCCTTCAGTTTTTACTCAATTCTTAAAATTAGAACCCAAGTGGAACAACTCAACCTCTCTTTTTTTATGATCACCAGCAGGACATATATCCACCTACATCCAACAATTAATTTCTATCTTACAGTACATTAGGTTCATGTATATGAAAAGAACGTGCTAAGGATTTAAATAGGTTAGTTACAGTGAAATGCTTTCTAAAATATTTAAATACGGTTTCTTTCTGAAGCTACTTGAGGTGTGCTTGATACACTTGACACTTTTATAGTCTCATAAGTGGACGATCAGCCTGGCCAGACAAGTGCAAATCAAGTACTCCTCTAATCACATTTAATATATGAAACATAGTCAACTCATCGTTTTCCATGTCTGGTATCTATAAATAAAAGGGAAAGAAAACTGCCACCTCAGCCACCACAGTGTTGCCTTGCTTGGCTCTTCTGTTTAAGAGAAGCAGATTCAGAGAAATCTGTTTTTACTCAAAAGGCAGAGAGGACCTCTGTGTTCCTCCCTCAATAGTTTTCATGCACTCCATCTGAGCATTACACAAACCAGGCTTGCTGGAGCTGCCGTAAAAATCCTATCTGCACTCAATCTTTCCCATAACAAAAGGAGGAGCACTAGATGTTCTGTGCGGCCTTGTTTTTGCTACGAGTGTATGTCGAGGCAGGCCCTAATAAACAGAGTGACCATAAACAAAGGATTAGCCAGAGTAAGGCGTGTGCCAAACCGGCTAAAAACAGACAAAACAACACTTCTGTGATGCATAAACAGTGAAAGAAAGGCCATGCCCACACTTAAAGTATCTCAATCTTTTGGGCAGTACGCCGTGTTGGCTGTGGTGATAAGCTTGCATTAATCAGCTGTGGTCACTGATAGCTTGACTTGGACAACAGCTTGTTTTGGCGGGAAACACAGACTTTATAGGCCTACGACTCCCATGAGCCTCCAGTGTTACTGACAGTGATGGAAGCCAGCAATTACTGGAAGGGTCAAAAGATTCAGGTTACCACAAAAAAAACATGAATTTAAAATATAGATGTGAAAATCAGAGATTAATGGAAGATGAATCTGCAGGTCAGCCAATCCACACACACATCTGTGTTAAACTTGTGTAATAATCATCTAACTTGTAACTTTTGAGATCATATTGAGATGTGTAGTTCATGTACTCACTGCTTTGGCAAAGACACCCATGAGCTCAGGGAACTGATGTGTGAGCATGGCCAGCATGGCAGTGAACGAGCAAAGGCCTGCTGTGAAGAGGATGAAGAAGGGAAGCTCTTTCTTTGGGTACACAGACACCTCGTGGAACGCTGCAGGAACAAAGAACACCATCAGAAAATAGAGCTACACATAATGAGTGGAGATAAACAAGTGAGATAGTGAGGTGATTAATTAGACTGTCGGGTGTAAAGCAATATTGTGCATTTATTGACTGCATGTTGACTTGGACTATTGTACTTACATGGCAGTAGTTCTCTATCTGCTGTTTCTGTGCATCCTGGGTAGGGGTAAAACAGGTGACCCTTCTCTAGTGGGTAGGGAATGATCCGGAAGGCTGCAAAGGCGGACAGATAGAAAGTTAATCCAAGAGAAATAACACACCAAAAATGACTCAGTACAGAGTAAAAACTATTTTCAACAACATAACTGGTGTTCCAAACTGTATCTAGAAGACACTGCTTTCCAGTAAATTATCTAAGTAGCCAAAACTCTTTATCAGAGTGACAAGATCCTAACATCCGGATAAAATATAACACTAACAATCTTAATGTGCTTCATTGGAACAGTGACCTCATCCTTGTATAATCTCCAGAAGAGTATTAGTGGGTGTAATAAGCATTAATAATCATGACACAACAAAGGACAACAAAACAAAGAGCAGCACACAATACGGGAAACTTTTGAATGGCCAAGCTCTTCTAAAGAACTGAGTGAAAATGTTCCCTTTAATATACAGTGGGTGAGGTACCCTATCTCAAGTTCTAACAAATCATTACCATTGGAAAAAATACACTTACAGTCTAGAAAAAAAGGAGGAATATTTATACATACTTCCCTCCCACGTGCAGTGTAATAAGTTTAAGGCTCCTTCTGCTCTCTTCCAGTGCTGCAGGTGGAAGAAAGCGTATGCCACTGCCTCGCTGTCACCCCTCTTCAAGATGTGCTCTGGAGGCAGGATCAGGCTCTTCATCTCCAACAAGTACTGCACACAGGAAGAGGAAAACACATGAAACCTCTGGTAAGTTTAACACTAGCATAATATGTTTCTTTTCTGCTTCTAAACCTAGAACAGAAGCGCGGAAGTGTCTACTATGCGTGCACATCATACCACTTTCAAAACGTAGATAATTTGTGATCATTTATGACAAGAGTGAAGCAAAGTCTTCCTTTTAACAAATCTGAACTGTCTTTAGTTAATAACCATGGTTTAATATTTAAAATCAACATGAAGACATCCACTAGCACAGACACTAGTACTTTATTGTTTTAAGTTTTGACTTAAGATAAGAAAAATAAGCAAAGATCAATCCCATCGGGGGAAATTAATACACTGAGTTCTATGAGACACGTATCTTGTAAGGTTGTCAAGTGTTCGATACTTTAAAACCATGTGTTGTTGTTTTTCAAAAGGCTTTTCATGCCTTTAATTTAGAGATAGGACAGTGGATAGAGTCTGAAACCGGAGAGAGAGTGGGGAATGACATTCCACAGGTCGGATTTGAACCCGTGCCGCCAGCTTGGAGGACTACAGCCTCCACACATGGCGCACTAACCTCTAGGCTACTGGCGCCCCGATATCCATGTGTTTTAAAATGATAAAATCTGGGTGGTTTTAATACTTGTACAAATCAAAAGTACCTAAGCTTTGAAAGAAACTATGGATGCTTTCATATTTCTAACCAGAAGTTTTCTTCAAAAGAGAGAGCTCTGTCTAAAATGCACAAATACATTGGCAATGTTTGTAAATTTGTATAAAATAGACAGTGCACAGGAAGTACCTGCAAACTTTGGAAATAAAAACAAGATATTGTCCAGTAGTTGTTGCCTAGGACTTTGATTCTTGTTACAATGGTTACAAACAATTACAGTTTAAGTTTTACTATTATCATAGTTTAAGTTTGGAACAACCGGAGCTGCACGTCATCCTTTTCTCTTTAAACAGTATTTTTCATGTATGTACTGAAAATGCAACATTTTGGTAAAAAATTGAAACATTTGGCAATTGGAGAAACAGATTTTCTTTTTCAGACACACCATCAAACCTGACTAGTACAATACCAGTGAGTCTTCATTCACAAGTTTATCAATTGGTAAGGTGAAGTAGAAACTATTGAAATTATGCTGAAATAACTTGGGTTTAAAAAAAAGCTCCCTTGTGGCCAAAAATCTGTTCATGGTGCTTTAATACTTCAATTAACATTTCTGTGTTTCTCCATCAGCACTTCATTTATTATTTTCTATTGTGCAATTCCCTGTGGGTAACTCCCTGCAGACTGGAAACATATTTTCTTCATGTGAGGTATTTGTTGACAGCCTTATTTTGCAATTGTTCAAGGTGGGAGGGAAACGCTTTCCAAAGCTCTCTGAGTGTGTGTTATTGTTACAGTACAGTACACTCATTCCATGAATGTGTAACGTCCCCCTCTTACCCCTCCTCTCCTTCCCTTCTGTGTAAGTTTGTCCCAGCGAGTCAGCCGGTTCACTGTGCTGACAAGGCCCACAGCCCAGAGTTACGACCTATAGAACAGTTCAGGTTTTCTAAAATAAAAGGGAACAAACATTTCAAAATAGGCCTTTATCCTGTATACTCATTTTCTGCAAAACTAATATTTAATATAGTTCTAGATCTGCCCATAGATACTTTATTAACAGGTTTATATGGACTTTGATGAACCTGCTACTCTATGTGCTTTATGTCTGTGGTGCCCACTGTGGCAGGGGTCTGTGTTAAACAAAACCTCTGTGCGGGGATGGGGCCCCCTGGGCTGGATTCCCAGGCGGCCAGCTTCACAGTGCTCTGGATCTCAGACTGACACTTTGGGAAGGTTACCCCACAGCTAATCCCGTCTAATCCCTTCCATGGTCACAGGCTCAGCCAGCCAGCGAGCCATCCATCCATCCAACCAGCCAGACCGTGCTGCTTCACCCATCTCCCCCTACATAACCTTCCCCACTTCTGCCCTCATGATCACTGCCTGGTCAGGCTCTTCAACCTGGCTCATCCCTGTCTTGTCTTTATCCAAGACTCCTTCATGCTCCTTTAGCTTGCAACACATGAGCTCACTCCCAGGTAACAGAACTCAGACTGCTTGTCTGCCTCACTTGGTTGGTGAATTACTTCATAACTAAAAATTTCATACTGTATGTTTTACTCAACATAAATAAGTAAACTGATATTCCTTCAATCTATGTCCAGCTAGTTTGACCAATACTTTAATAAATGACCAAAAACCTCCAACTAAACCATCAGCTGAAAAACATTAGCCTTAACATATTAAGTTATGTCCTTGGGAGCATTTAAAAACGCAAATGTTAACATCTATCTACAGTATAAGCCCCATGCTATGCTTTAACAGCACCTTACAGAGAAATAACCCTCTAAGAGCACAAATAAAATCTATACAGGTACATTGAGGCAAACCATGATGAACATACTCCACATGGGCACAGGTAAGAGTTAACAGGTGGAAGATTTCAATAGGGTTGATTTAGGCCTTTGAATAGCCACAGTAGAAAACAAACGTAATGAAATGTTGGTGTGTTTGATTCTGTGTTCAGTTGCATTCCTTTCTTAATACTGAGGTGACAAACTGTCATTGATACGTCCATGTATACAGACATGTTTAGCTAGACGTTCTGTTGATCTGGTTAGCCATACTTGTTTTTGAGTAGAATTGAGCCCAAAGGGAAGGGGGCAGCTTTTTCTTGTTGTTTAGCACCAAAACAAATGTAACACTTGGACTGCAACCAATATTTGTGTTACTTTATTAGGTGACATATTACAGAAGGAAGCAATGAAGGAAATCCAACTTGTGTGGATGTAAGCCTCAACATTTGTGCAAGGTTGACAATGTTGGTGCCCGTAGCCTTGCCCCCCAAACTTCGAACTTTCTACCTGAACAAAACTACTTAATTGCCATTCTGCAATACTTGGCAAGCACTAAATTTCTCCCATTTCTCTGCCATCCTAGTCCGCACTCATGCCATCTACAAATTGGTCAATTTTGGTCCGCCAAGACAATTAAACACATTACCAAATATTTTTCCCTGAGACAGCCATCCACTGCCTCCTCATTAAAGACTCAAACAATTGCTGCTTTTCTATCTCGTTGCTGGACTATTGTTTTTTAAACAGTAATCAATGTTTAGTGCCCTATACAGCTGGCCAGAATCACCTATTTCTCTGCTGTCTGATCTTCACTTGCCACCTTCCTGAACCTGTCACTAGTGGTGGGCGATATAACGATCTTAGATCGTGAAGGATTTTAACTTGCTGACGATCTGCCAAAGCAGAGAGATCGCAGAACCGGGCTAATGTGTTTATTCTATCATGCTGCAGTTTATGCTCCGACGCGACTCCCCCTCCCCTTCTGCTCCACCGCGGTGAAAACAAAACTTAAATCCGCAAAAACAACTCCATCCCGGTTATATGCAACTGTTCTGATATTTTTCAAACTAACACACCGTGAGCAACAGTTAACTTATCTGCATAGTTTGCACAGTTAAGTTTACATATCAGATAGCGACACAAGAAAACAATTAACGAGCTGGAGAGACGTTCACAGTCTGCAGAGAGTCAGACAGAGCAGAGCTCAGACAGTCAGTGATGAGAGATATAACCCCGGTGTTTAAAATGTTGCTGTCGGTGTTTTCTGCTCTGTCTCGGTTTCTGAAAGTTACTATCAAGCTTCTCCACCCGAAGCTCACCTGTTGTGATAACGAACCTACAGGTATTACACCAAACGACGTTACAAAGCAGCAGGCAGGTGAGAGTGAGTAACCATGGTTACTGTCTGTCTGTCAATCAATGATGTCCCGCCCCCTCTATGAATTGAACTCTTCTGTCAGTAAAACTTTAATCATGTGTCACAGAATGAACACATTCTGTATGATGTTTTATTATATATAAACTAAACTAAAGTTAGTCCAGTGAACTTGAAGTCTACATGTTTTTAAATGAATGCATCAATGCATGAAAATGTTCCTGATGAACATAAAAAGAGGACACATAACCAAATCATAAGTGGTGAGCAAAACCTTCAAATTGTGCATAAATATTGATCAAATAGAGGGAAAGACATTTCTGGTGCTAAAGATGTTCTGGGTGAGACCTCCAGACCTCCTACAAAGATGTTTTTCAAATAGATTAAACTTGTCTGCACAGTTTTTGTGCATTTAAAAACATTATGCAGGGAAATTAGTTTGGTTGAACTGGTCAGTAGCTTACAAATTAGTCTAAAGATCAGTATGAAAAAAATCGTGATAAAATCGTGATCGTGATTTTGGCAACAAAAAAAAATCGTGATGTGATATTTTTCCCATATCGCCCACCTCTACCTGTCACCCTCACGGGTAAAGGCTGAATTACCAAACAGGAATAAATCCTCCACTTCCCCTATCTCTTTCTGCTTCACTCAGTCATACTACTGACTGACCTGTCTTCCAGCCTTCTTTTTCTCCCAATCCCTACATCCAAGAATCTTCAGCTAGACACCCAGAAGCTACTTGTTTGCACTTCTCACTTATCCTGTCTGACTTACTTAAATCATTCTCTTACTGCTCCAGCCAAGAGATTTGACTGTCCGCCTTCATCTTCCTCACCATGTCGGCCTTCTTTTTTCTGAGAACTACCCTTTCACTACTCTCTAGGCATCAAGCCAGCTAAAGGGCTAACCTTCGGCTTCTCTGCTGTAGAGAACCACACAACTGCCATAACTGATACAATCACATACATTTATTTTATATAACACTTGATGCATGAAGCATCACATGAGAAGTTGGAAGTTGAGCATAGTTTGGTGCCCAGCCTGCAACAGAACTATTTGATAACCTGTAATTGAGCCAACATGTGGTAGAACCTGCATATTTTACAGATAAGATACAGATAAATATTTTAGGGTTTTACTCAGAACTGGATTTCTGTATTCACCGATAAGACACGTGTTTATAATAGCTTTCCACTGCTAAATACCAGCTGAATAG